CTATATTTCAGGTCAGTGGTATATTGGTATGTGAAGCAGGCTGCATATTAGAAAATCTTATCTCTTTCCTGGACAACAAAGGGTAATTGCCTGCTATACTGTCAATGCCTTTTCTCAATGGACCTGTAATGTTGTTCGACTCTAGATGCATACTTGTACCTCTGTCACCTTTATCTGTGGATATTGATCTGTCTTCACTTATTCTAGGAGTATATGCTTTATTTCAGATTTGTTATGCCTCTGGACTTAGGTGCAAAAGGGAGCTGTCAAATTGGTGGAAATGTTTCTACTAATGCTGGTGGTTTGCGCCTTGTACGTTATGGTTCACTTCATGGGAATGTACTCGGTAAGAATTCTGCTTGTTAATTGGACATCTATTTTCTTCAATTTACACTTATTTCTTCAACTTAGGGTGGGTTTAGCAATCAGAAAGGGAAAATGAAAAGGAGCCTACTGAGTTACGCATCTGCCTTCTAATATGAAAATTTTAGGGTGTTGCATTTCATCAAGCTGGTTATATGAGGTTAACTCTTAATTTTTGAACCATTATTGTGACGCTTCATTTTTTCTACGGGTGGAGTTTGGTGACTGATAGCATGGTGTGTGCACTATCTATAGGGAGGGTAGCCTTAACCTTGTGTGGGCATCATTGAACAATTTGCATTAATACTTTTTAATAGGATTTTGTGTCCTAAATTGCATATCTAAATAGTAAAAATTAAAAATAGAATTAGCTTCCTTAGGTTATATTCCTATCTGCTTGGAGATATGCCCATTTATTATTATATTTTAGGGTTCTAGATTCATGGTTGTTTAATAGTCTCACAAGTATTTGCAGTTTTTTTGGACACTCACATTGAAGTGGTTGAAGCTTATTCTCTAAAAGAAAGATACATAATGTTTGGACACAGGTTACTGTTTAATAGTGAAATGATATGGAAGAAAGATCTTGAAGTTCCAGAGCTCAACAACCTAGCCATTTAACTGACATGTTAACTATTCCAGTATTCAAAACCTGCTATCAACTTATCTTATCTTGCAATTTTTGATAGCAGATATCTTCTGAATTTATTTTGCTCATGCCAATTCCATCTGAAGCCTGCTTTCCCATTACCTTGTAGGTCTTGAAGCTGTTTTAGCAAATGGTGATGTGCTTGATATGCTTGGGACTTTACGTAAAGATAATACTGGGTATGACTTGAAGCATTTGTTTATAGGTGTGCACCTTATGCTTTATTGGTGGAATTGCTGCAAGTATTGTTTTCATTAGAGTTTACATCTTCACTTATATTTCTTCTATCATCTGTGTAGGAAGTGAAGGGTCCTTGGGAATTGTAACTAAAGTTTCTATACTGACCCCTCCCAAGCTGTCTTCCGTAAATTTAGCTTTTCTTGCATGCAAAGATTATTCTAGCTGCCAGGTTTGATCTACTTCCTCACTGTAAAATATCTTTTCTTGGGAATAATTTATGCTAAATTATTGCAGAATAATAGGATAATAGACATCATTGTTATCTGCTTATCATTTTCGTCCTCCTGTTTATCAGAAACTTCTCGTGGAAGCAAAAAGAAAACTTGGGGAGATTCTATCTGCTATTGAATTTTTGGATGACCAGGCAATGGTTTTGGTAGGCTTTCTGTCCCACACTCTTAACAGTTTTTTCAGTCTGTGTATCATAAAGCTATTATTATTAGAGCTTTTATTGTTGCTGCTAAAATCCTTTCTTATGGCTTTCATATTTTGATTGGACTAAGGGTTGATGCTAATTTTTTTTCTGATGAATTAAAGCATACTCCTGCAATCTTAGTTGTTTCTGGCTGGAAGCATTTCTAATTTGTTATTGCATTATATCTGCCAGGTTTTGCATCATTTAGATGGAGTTCGGAATCCGTTACCCACCTCAATGCACAACTTCTATGTTCTGATTGAGACAACAGGCAGTGATGAATCTTTTGATAGGTAAATCTTCATCAATTGGTTTTTATTCATCTATTGGTGCTAAACTTTCTCTTTATACATCTTTTCACTATTTTTGTCACAATAATTTACAGTAGAAGAAACACACACATTTAACAGAAGTTCAAATGATGATTGCGAGACAAATATGCTGAAACCAACCAACAGCTTTAAACTTCTTGAATTGAACCTTTTTTTGGATTTTTCATTGTACTTGATGCTGTCAAATATTCTTTCATTAGCATCTATATAGCTCTTGGGGCCCTTCAATATCTCCATGAGTTTACAAAGTTATAAATTCCTGCAGGGAGAAACTTGAGGCCTTCTTACTTAGCTCAATGGAAGGTGGTTTGATTTCTGATGGTGTTCTTGCACAAGACATAAACCAACTATCTTCATTTTGGCGAATACGTGAGGTTCCCATTTGAATACCATATTCTTCTTCCTACATATTTTTTTAATTTATAATCATTGCAATCTCTGTATGAATGGATGTAGTTGTAAGGTTCCTTTTCTTACATTGCAGGGTGTACCAGAAGCATTGATGAAAGCTGGTGCCGTTTACAAATATGATTTGTCATTGCCTGTTGAAAAGATGTACAATCTTGTGGATGACATGAGAGTAAGACTTGGTAAGCACAGTTGTTAATGATACAAATATGATTTATTAGGCAAAGTTGTTATGTTTTTTTAGGTAATTCAATGTGATTGTGTGGTTTATAAATCTCTTATCAAGCATTTCACAGCATAGAAATGTCTTTAAATTCTGCTTATGATCTGCACCTCAAATTTTCAGGTAATTTGGCGAAAGTAGTTGGATATGGTCACCTCGGGGATGGGAATTTGCATCTTAATATTTCTGCTCCGCAGTACAATGACGCGGTAAGGCCTTCCTGTATAATTTGAAGAAATCCGTCCATATTTGTATTAATATCTGTAATATTGCAGATTTTACAACAAATTGAACCCTATGTCTATGAATGGACATCTAAGCACCGAGGGAGTATCAGTGCTGAACATGGCCTGGGATTGATGAAAGCTAACCAGATCTATTACAGCAAAACTCCTGAAACTGTGAGTTTTTCTTCGAACGCAAAATGATACTGCAAATTTCTGTTTCCTGGTTTGTCTTTTGTGAGTTCATAGTTGCCTCATGAAGAGTGTCTTAAAAGAGAATCTTTTTGGATAGGTACAAATCATGGCTTCCATCAAAACGTTGCTTGACCCGAATGGGATACTCAACCCATACAAAGTTCTTCCGCACTCACTCAATCGCTAGAGCTGGGCCAGGGAATGCTACCTATGAAGCCTTTCTCTCATCTCCAAATTCAGTCTCACCACTAAGAGCATTTGGCAAACATTGGAATATGTCATGAAAAAGATGCCACTATGGAGGTGAGCTGAAAATGGGCAAAGGGGGGTACAAGAAATTTCCATAAAGAATATTGATCTGGCAAACAAAGGGCATCGCTTCTGGTACTATACAGTGAACTTGGTATAATCATTGAATAAGAGATGGAAACATGTTAAGACTCTCAGGTGCATAAAATTACAAAAATAAGTTGGAACTTCTTGCACCAGCATAAAATTTATTAAGCTTTCTGTATGTACATATTCTATTCAAGTTGACGTCTCTTGCATCGTTCTTAATGTGCGCTCAAGCCGTTTTCTGGTAGGTTTATGGCAGCAAGCAAATTGCAGACCCAAGGAGGCCAAAAACCATTTTGCCATTTGCATCATGCATCTGCTCTCTGGGCAAATACAGGTAACCACTTGTCAGGATTTTGTGAAAGTGATTATGTGACGACAAAGAGGCAATTTCCTGTTGAAAATAAGGAGTTTAGGCCTAACTTTAGTATGAAATAAAGTTAAAAAAAAAAAAAAGGATTCTTGGTTGTCGTCTAGAGCATCCTTCATTCATTTGTTTACGTTTTAAAGCAGAATATATGTAGTGGGTTTGACATATTGAGTGCTGCCAAGACCATCTTTGTGGAAAAGAATTAGGAGGGGACAAATTGCAAAAGAAAGCACCAATTAGCAAGGCTGGAATATGCTAATCCCTTGATCTTGCCATGTCCATAGATTCTTAAAATGGAGAAATGAGAATAAGAACATTGGAGCAGTCAAAGAGGTGGGCATATTGCCTGCCGAAAGAGAAAAGTAAGATCCTATGTTGGATTTTCCTAGTTGTTGTCGTTGAATAAGAAGGAAATAGCAGCAAAAAAATAAATAAAAACAAAAATCTACCACCAAATCTGCCTCTGAAATTAATTTAAGTGCCAGCCATGGATGTCCCTGGCAAGACATTTGTATTTAGAAATTGTAGTTAATGCCGATCCATAGTCAGCACAGCCATGCGTTGACGAGCCATCGCCCCTTCTCTCCGTCACGATAAAAGGATAAGATAATGACTAGTGTGGAGGGATGATCCATTTCTAGGCATGACCTTGTCTTAAGTTTTGTTTGCCCTTTTTTTTTTTGCTTATTTAATTTTAATTTTATGTCAATGGGATAATAAATAAATATTATAATTCAGAATATTAATTTAATATCAAATATTCGATTCAATTATAAATGCATGATGCATGTGTGTTTCATTTAAAAAAAAATTTGAATTTATTTTTCTAAATTGAGAAAATTATTTTAATTTAACTTATTTAATCATATAACTTAATAAATTACACTCCATTATCATGATAAAAAGACTAAGAAATTGAGATTTTACGGGATTTTACTAATAAACGTCCAAGATTAGTGTAAATGAAGAACATAAATAACAAATCTAAGCTTTGTCGGGCCTTCGATCAGGTTGGATGGTAAAAGAAACGACATCGTTGCGATGGTTGTCAAAGGGCTCCTTGTCGAAATGGAAAACCTCCTTGACGGAATAACCAATAAGATGATAAAAGAAGGAAATAAAGGCATCGATCAAAGAGAGAAAGAGGGCGAGGCTACGGTGGGGAACGCCAAGAGGGTCACTCTTACTCTTTCTTTGTTTTGTCAAATAAGAAATAAATCACAACCTTTCTCTCTTTCCCTTTGTGAAAAAAAAAAAACCTCTCTGTCCTTGCCTTTCCTTTCTTGATTCATATTTTTCCTTTGGATTGAGGCCAGGGGGCCTGAATACGACAGCCGAAGGCCAGAAAAGCATGACCAGCTCCTCCGCCTCCGCTCGCAAGGTTCCTCCTTCAATCCTCCTCTCTCTCACTTCACTCTCTCTCTCTCTCTTTTGAATTAATTTTGTTGGAAATGTTTTGATTTGGTGTTTCAGGCGCTGAGTAAGATAGCGTGCAACCGGTTGCAGAAAGAGCTGGTGGAGTGGCAGGTCAACCCTCCCTCCGGTTTCAAACATAAAGTCACCGATAATCTCCAAAGGTACTGGATTCAATCATTTTTCCATTTTCTTTTAGATCTTCTGCTTACCTACGTCGATTTCTTCTTCTTCTTTTGTTTCTGTTCTAAAAAATTGGAGCTTTTTTATTTGAACAAAAAAATTCAGGTGGGTAATTGAAGTAAATGGAGCTCCGGGAACTTTATACGCCAATGAAACCTATCAGCTTCAGGTGGATTTCCCTGAACATTACCCTATGGAAGCGCCCCAGGTTTACATTTAATTCAAGAAACCTTTTTCTTGAAGATTTTTTAATTTAATTTTATAAAGCTTGTCTTTTTTTATGATTTTGCTCTTTCGGTGGCAGGTGATATTTCTTCATCCGGCACCGCTGCATCCACATATTTATAGCAATGGCCATATTTGTTTAGGTAGTGTTTTGTCATAAAATTTCTCTGTTCTTTCAATGTATTTCAATTTCTCGGAGGTTTTTGATTGATTTTTATCTTACTTTTTGCCAGTGATATGTCACGATCTGATTTGTCTCTTTGCTTTCATCTTAATTTTTGTCTATTTATCCTTTGAAAATGATGGGCTTTTGGTTAGTGTTGCGCCTTACTCATTTGTTGTTGCCCTCAAAAGTTTTTCCCTTTGTTTTCTGGGGAGGATCTTTGGTTATTATGTCAGACTATTTTTACTGATATTTGGATGTTATTGTATTATGCATCCTTCTTCCAATCCTTTTCACCAAAATATATATGGAAAAAAAGTAAGTGCAATTTCTAAGTCTCCAAATATTCACTACAACTGGCAACAGAAAAACCTTGTTAGCTTTGTCTTTATATATTTATATAATAAAAGGGGAAAGAAAGGGGAAATTGATATTTAAAGATTGTTGCCCTCAGTGAGTAGTATAGATGTTTTTTACTTTGTCATGAGCTTTGTAAGACTTAAAAGGGAACTGATTTTTCTTTTATTGGGTTTTTTCTGAAATGGGAAGTCGGTGAACCATAGTCTAGCTTTTCCTCCTCCTTTCCTGGCTGTGGTCTGATGTTATTGTTCCGTTACAGTAATAGGGTAATCTGTGCTGCGTTCTTTTGAAACACATGGCTTCATTCACGAGGTTGTGAAATGTTATTATCTTGTAGCCTTTTACAATGTCAACTTGCTTGTTAATTCTTTATATGGTTTCTTCTAGTGGACAAGGGAGCGCATAGTAATAGCTTGGGAAATGAGCTCAGTATAATGTTTTTATCTACTTGCTATGCCTTTTAACATGGTTTGCTAAATACAAAGCATAATTGATATTGTTATTTTAACTTATGTTTTGGAAAATTCAGATGCTCTTTCTGTGTCTCTCTCTCTTCCCCACACACACATGCAGATGCACATGCATGCACATTGATAGTGATGTTGCTCAATTTTCACATGTATGTGCTTTACCTATGTTTTATTGCCTAACTTGCAACAAGACAGACATATAACACATGATTGCTCCATTGTATTTTGTAGATATCTTGTATGATTCATGGTCCCCAGCCATGACAGTTAGTTCTATCTGTATCAGCATTCTCTCCATGCTATCAAGCTCAACTGTGAAGGTTTGAATATACATCCAATTGACTTTCTGTGTGCTCTATTATACCACTCTGTCTTCATGTCATGCTTATTCAGTTTGTGTCATACATAGGACATACTGCCAATTTTCATTTTGGGCTAAAATTTCCATACTGGGAATAAGCAATACTATTTTCTCTAAATGATGGGCATCTCCTAAATGATTTCAGATGAGATGGTGATGTTGCGAATATGAGGGGAGATTGGTCTCTTCTGTTTCTATAAATCCACAACTCCTTTTAATACTATTGATCATGCTTGCAGCAACGTCCCGAAGACAATGACCGCTATGTAAAGAACTGTAGAAATGGGCGATCTCCCAAGGAGACGAGGTGGTGGTTCCATGATGACAAAGTGTAATTGCAGGAGCATCTTGCTGCACCAATTAGTTCAATAACTAGAATAGGCAAACAGCTTCGTCTTTTAAGGAAAATGGAAACAAAAGGGCAAAGCATTTTCCCAATCAAAAGTTAAATGCTCAATAACTCGTGTAAATTGTTATGCTGGTATTTTGTAAAGAAAGAGAAAAGTCTCTCTTTCTTTAGCAACTTGTAAGGAACAAACGGGCTCACTCGGCTGATGGTGTTTTAGCCATGCGAGAGATGCTCAGTGCACTGTAAGCACACCAATGAGAAAACTCCGTATCTTTCCGAAACCATTCTCCAAACTTCGTGAGTTCTATGATTGTAACATGGTAGCATATGAAACTGATGGTTCATCCGAGTCTTGCGTCTTTAGCGTTACATGTGCTGGATCACTCTCACTTGAACTTACTGTTTCTATACAGCTGATGTTGATTGTACAAGTTCCAGGGGAATGACCAAGTTTTAAGAAATTCCGATTGCACGGTCCAAGAGTAGCCTATTGTATCTGTGTTGGTTTAGACAACCTGAAATCTATTTCTACTGGAAATTGGCATTCTAAACAAATTCTAATTTCGAGTGGGACTTGACTGTTGTCACCTCTATTCAGCCAGCGGCAATGCTCTGGCTTTTGTCCAATGACAATCTCAGTAGTAGCGTAATTCCAGAATGGTTCAGAACCAATCAATATGGCCAACTAAGATTCAAGCAATGCATATTAACTGGTGCAATGTATCCAGAACATTCCGGACTGGGTTAGATGATGACTTTTAGATTAATAAAATTGGAAAACTGCGGTCAGACTGTGCCTGCTTGACGTTTCTTGCCCTGGAAACCAGTTACGTACGCTAACTTCCCAATGGTCGATTCTTTTTAAAATAATTTCAGGAGTCGTCTAAAGGTGCCATGGTCTATTTTCAAAGTTTCTACTTTTGACTTCTTTCAGACACACCAACTACCTCATCGATTGTTTCATTGTAGCACTTCAACTTAACTGGTCGCCACTGATCACCACACGGCTGCTCTATCCTTTTCCCCTGAGATTGAAAAGAAACGGAAGGGACCATGAATGACGTGACTCACCAAAGGATCAAAACAAACGGGATATGGCTGCAGATAGCAGAGCAAGGGACAGGACCACTGGTTCTATTGCTTCATGGATTTCCAGACATATGGTATTCATGGCGCCACCAGATTGGTTTCTTGGCTAACCATGGGTACCATGTAGTTGCTCCTGATTTGAGAGGCTATGGAGACTCAGATTCCCCACTTAGCCCCAGCTCCTACACTGTTATGCAGCTCGTTGGGGACGTCATCGGCCTGCTTGATCATTTTGGGGAACAACAGGTATTTCCACTTTCCTCAAAGACACGGGCATGTACATGTTTTCCGATTGGTGTTGTGTAAAATGGTTTTTCTCTGACTGTTTCGAGTTAATTATTTATGGCAAGGCTTTTGTAGTTGGACATGACTGGGGAGCTGTTATTGGTTGGCATTTATGCCTGTTTAGGCCTGAGAGAGTCAAGGGATTGATCAATATATCTGTGCCATACTTCGATAGAAACCCGAAAGCCAAATATGCTGACGCCTTGATTAGAACTTATGGAGATGGGTTTTACATCTCCCAATTCCAGGTAACTTTTCTATCTAATTCAGTCAAGAAATGCTTGTTTTTAAGGTTGTTATACTAATCACTGCTTTGGGGAGGATTTCCTTAGGAACCAGGAAGAGCAGAGAGGGCATTTGCCAGGCATGATTATTTGACAGTGATGAAGAAGTTCTTGTTGATTACACAGACTGATAATCTGATAGCTCCGCCCGGCGTGGAGATTATTGATTATCTGCAGACACCATCATGGTTACCATCATGGATTACTGAAGAGGAACTCCAGGTTTATGCAGACAAGTTTCAAGAATCTGGCTTCACGGGTGGTTTTAACTACTACCGTGCTATGAACTTGTGAGTTTCGGCCTTCTATGAAAGTTGTTGAGTTCATATTTATGAATGTTCTTCCTCACAGAACTAATGTTCAAATTGGTAACAGGAATTGGGAGCTTACTGCACCTTGGCAAGGATCGAAAATCCTGGTTCCAGTCAAATTCCTAGTAGGTGATAAAGACCTGGGGTTTGAAAACACTGGTGTGAGAGAATACGTACAGGGAGATACCTTCAGGAGCCTTGTTCCCAACCTGGAAGTTGTTATTCTAGATGGTCATCATTTTCTCCAGCAAGAAAAACACCAAGAAGTTTCCCAGGAAATTCTTTCGTTTCTTCGCAAATTTCCTGCGGAGTAGCAGACTTCTCTGGGTTTTCATTATGATCGCCCTTCCTCTTGAGTCTTTGCTCTTTACTAAGAAAAGAAGGCATTCATGACTAGTTTTAATTTATTATTTTCCTCTGTACACTTGTCTTGTGTGGTTGTGGAGTAGAAAGGTTCTTCCAATTGCCACAATTAAATAAGAAAGTTAATTTCAGCATCGAGAAACCTCTATGAGCACATCCTTGTTCATGAAACTTTCTTGACATTGAAAAAGGTTTAGAAAACTATTGATAACGTGTGGACACGATTAATACATAAAATACAAAAAACTTACATCCAAATTTATGTCCAAAATTACTACATCTAATTAGAATGAATTTGAATGGATAATCAACTTTCATAGTACAGGCGAGATGGAAGGAAAAGACAAGATTGACCATCCTTCCCACCTCCAAATAGCAATCTCCATTTCTAGAAGACGACTGCACAAAGTCAATGAGATAAGAGAGTGTAAGGACATAGGAAACAGAGTAGTTTACGCGTTTGGCTTGTTTGAAAGGTCTATGAAACCACGGCAAACCAATTTATTACTATGTTTCTGAGAAATTCCGTATACTGTTCTGGGATGTTTCTGTTGAAGATAGGCGGGACCTAAGGTGGAAATTGCATGGTTGGAAATGGAAGCTGGCAGGGAAACTTCATGTGATACCAATCTGTTAAGTTAGGACTCCTACTTCTGAAGAGGGAAGCAGCTCTTTGCAAAGTAAAAGCCATAAACAGAAACAAGAGAAAGAGAGGGGAGAAGGAGACAGAGAGATGGCAGAGTTTGCTGTTTCCCTAGTTGTGGAAAAGCTTACGAACTTACTGGCAATGCAAGCAGCATACCTGGACGGGGTGAGCCAAAAGATTGTGCAACTGAGAAACGAGTTGAGGTGGATGCAAAGTTTTCTCAAGGATGCGGACATGAAGCAAGAAGAGGATGAATTGATGCAACAATGGGTGTCTGATGTTAGAGATGTGGCCTACGACACAGAGGAAGTTATAGAAACATATGTTTCCAGGGCGGCATCTCAGAAACCATTCGATTTAGTCACCAAACCGTTTTACCACTACAAGGTGGGGAGGAAGATTGAAAGTATTCGATCCAGGATTCGGGAAATAACCGGCAGACGAGAAACTTATGGTGGTCTGGGGAACGGTAGAAGTGGAGGAGAGGGAGCCGCTGCAAATGACAGGTTGAGATGGTGGAGACAGCCATCACCCCATGTAGAGGAGGATGACATTATTGAACTAGTGGAAGACACAAAAGCGTTGCTTACACAACTGACTAGCATGGAGTCAAGGCGCCGTGTGGTTTCCATTGTGGGTATGGGAGGTTTAGGCAAAACAACTCTTGCAAAGAGATTGTACAACCACAATGATGTTAAGAACCATTTTGATTGCAGAGCATGGATTTATGTATCCAAAGAGTACAGAAGAAAAGAGATCTTACAAGGAATCATTACAGATGTAAATGCAGTTAACAGAGATGAGATGGAAGTTTTGGAAAAGCTGAAAGAGGAAGTGTTGCTGAAGAAGCTGCATGAATTCCTGGAGGAGAGGAGGTATTTAGTTGTTCTTGATGACGTGTGGAGTATGGAGGTTTGGGATTGTCTAGAAAATGCATTCCCTAGTGGGAAAACTGGAAGCAAAGTGATGGTCACCACCAGGAACAAGGAGGTTGCTCTACATGCAGATGGAGGGGGCATTCCCCATGAACCAAGGATTTTAACAGAGGATGAAAGTTTAAAATTGTTCTGCAAGAAAGCATTTCATGGGATGAAAAGTCTTCCCCCTGAATTAAAGAAGCTTGGTAGGGATATGATAGTGAGATGTGGTGGTTTGCCTCTGGCGGTGGTTGTGCTTGGAGGATTGCTCTCTCGGAAGATCAAGTCAACAGAGGAATGGCACCGCGTTCTTCGTAACATCACCTGGCACTTAACCAAGGGCCAAGACCGGATAGCTGCCATTTTAGCACTTAGCTATAATGATCTACCCTCCCACTTAAAGTCATGCTTTCTCTATCTGGGACTATTCCCGGAGGATGTCTCTGTCCAGACCAGAAAACTGATCCATCTTTGGGTAGCAGAAGGATTTTTACCACAAGAAGGTGAAGAAACAGCTGAAGGCGTCGCTGAGAAATGCTTAACTGAGCTGATCGACCGGTGCATGATTCAAGTGGGAAGGTTAAGTTCACTTGGCAGAGTCAAAACAGTCCGTATCCATGATCTTCTCAGAGACCTCGCCATCTCCCAGGGAAGGAAGCAAATTTTCCTTGAAATTCATCACCGGAACAAGGCAGAGTCGACAGAATGTATCTCTATTAAATCCCGAAGGCATGCTATCCATTCTCGCCATGACCAGTATACTTTCCTTAAACACTTTGCTCCTCATTTGCGCTCCCTTCTGTTCTTTAACCGAGAGTATAATGTCGATGTGGCAAGGAAAATAATGAAAGTTTGTTTCAGGTTTGAGAAGAAGCTTAATGTCATTTACAAGAATTTTAAACTGCTCAGGGTCCTGGATTTGGAAGGTGTTCGTGTAGTCAGTCTACCTGACACAATAGGAAGCTTAATTCAACTAAGGTATCTAGGATTGAGGAAGACTAATTTAGAAGAGGAGCTTCCTCTGTCTATAGGAAACTTGCAGAATCTACAAACATTAGATTTGAGGTATAGTTGTTTTCTTAAGAGGATACCTAATGTCATCTGGAAACTGGTGCATCTGAGACATTTGCTCCTTTATACTCCATTTGATTCCCCAGACAGCTGGCATTTGAAGATGGACACCTTATGCAATCTCCAGAGCCTACCATATATAGAGGCTGGAAGCTGGATAGATGATGGTGGCTTAGCTAACATGACTAATCTTCGACAACTGGGCATCGATGGGTTGTCAAGAGAACAGGTTACTTCAGTCATTTCTACCATGGAAAAATTGCAGGACCTTCAATCCTTGTCTCTGTTGCTTGTGTCTGCACTGGAGATGTTTCCAACACTCACAGGACTTTCTCACTGTGAGCATCTTCAGAAGCTGTGTTTCTATGGAAAGATGGAGAAGCTACCTGACCCACAAGAATTCCCACCCAGCTTGATTAAGCTAACCCTTTACAATTCCCAACTGCAGAGAGATTCAATTACCAAATTGGAAAGACTACCGAACCTTGAAATGCTTGTTTTGGGTGAAGGGTCATACAATTTGAGAGACATGACCTTCTCCTCGGAAAGTTTTCCCAAACTGGAGATCCTACGACTGCACCTTCTGAAAGAATTGGAAGAGTGGACAGTGGAAGAAAGAGCAATGCCAAAGCTCAAGCATTTGGTGATAAATCGTTGTGAGAAATTAAAAAGGATTCCAGATGGACTGAAGCTGGCAACTTCCCTCAAAGAACTAGAAATTGTTGGAATGCCAGTTGAGTTTGAATACAGACTCAGAACCAAAGACTTCATGGAGTTCAAACACACACCATCAATCAAATCTACCACAGACATGTTGGCAATTGGTAAGCTAATCTGTCAGGATGTTTATTTAAAAGAGCACTTACATTAAGCATGAATTAAACCTTACTTTCTACATATGCATCTCGGTTTGCAGGCCTTGGCAGTCACCAGAATGTTGGTTGGCCAGAGGCACAATTCAGTTGACTGAACAAAGCTTCAAAATGATGATACAGATCGTATTCATTCTATCGGTTTCTTCTGCCATTGCACAGATAGCTTGGACATGTCTACCTGTTAGGCAAGTAGATAGTATTAACTTTCTTGGACAGCTTGTTTGTGAACGAGGATATAAGTTGTTTGTCAGTAAATAAACCTTATTTCTTAAATTAGAAACTTAAGATCCCAATAATTTCTTTTCCTTCTGAATGTAAGATACCATGAACAATACGATGAAGGCTCAATGATTTCTCTCTGCCAACTAATGCTCATATAAGAATAGAGGTGAATGGTTTCTGCCTAATCTTATAATGTGAGGGAGCTTGAACTTGTAGACTACCCAAGATCTTAGAAAGCTTGGTTCAGTCTACTAACAGCATAAACTCCTATATGTGATATTGCCTCCAGAATGGCGGCATCATAGTTTCTTTTTCCACCCAATCTACTAACAACTCCATTATTTCATCCATAGATAATCAGATCCTCAATGCAAAATAAATAAGAAGAAAACAGAAATGGGATAATCTTCACATAGTACAATGAGACTCACATGAATGACATACTTTTCCTTCTACTTATCAATCTCGTGTACATCATTGTTAACGGTGAGCAATAGAAAACTGTAAAGGAAACTAAGGACAGAACAAATGTCTTTTTCAATCATTCCTTCTCATCCATCTTAACAATTTGAGTACATTCTCATAAACAATAAATGTTATTGAAGAAGCAGGAACATTTTTCAGAAGGTTTGGTGTGATGCCCTTGTAAAATCCATGCAAACCCTCAAACCTGCAGGTCCCCAGAAGCAAACATGATCAACAAACGGAAGAAGGAAATACCAATTAAGAATATTCATGGTGTTTAATGCAGATTAAACTTTATTCCTCAGCACTAAGATTAAATTTGGGTTTGAATATGGTCTCACCGTGCTGTTTCCTTCACAACATGCCAACTACTCATATATCTTGGAATTCCCTCAATACTAGGTCGTTGCTGCAAAAATTAGAGATAAGTCCAACAGTGAGTTGCAGATTATCTCAATTGAACTTCACAAGCTGTCCAATTTAAACATCAAATGCTTGAAGGAAATATCCCTGCAGCCTCATGACAGCTTTGTTTAATCCTACTTAAAAGAATTTTGTGAGGTCAATGTACTTATAAATGAAAGATAGATTTTAATTTTTCCATTACCTGTGATCGAGTTCGAATAACCTGAAAAAACAAATTTCCCACCATCATAAGGCACCATGACCAGCCAGCTGACAGAAGATAAATATATATAAGGACTTCACACTGATTATAAGGATGCATACCTGAAATGGATATGTAAGTAGAATGGCAGCAATTTTAGAGGAACCCCCCAGAACAGCATAATCAAATGAATTCTGTACAAAATGTTAGGATTGTTAGAAATCATTTCCATTATAGCCTCCTACATGGTCAAACCATAAGGAGACTGAAAAAGGTCTTGATAGTGTCATTTTCAAACTGTCAAAGTTAGTATGAGGGTTATATACCAACAAATTACTGCAAACAGAAACTGCAGTTACATACCAACAAATTACTGTCACTTTCAGACTTCCTTTTGCTCTCTTTATAATCAACCATTATCCTTCGAAGTTCCTCATATGTTGTGAACTGAATAGCTCCGTGAGAAACCTGCTGAAGTCAAAACAAGCACAATGAATTGCAGAAGTATGGGAATATGAAAAACTACACTACTCCTTAAACAACTTGGTACTGTTCAGCTCTGAGATATTCTAATGTTGGAAAACCCATATGGTAATGTAAAAAGCAGGAGCAGAACAAGAACAAAACAGTAAGCAAACTACCATCAACAGACCAGGACCAAGTCCTTTATAGAGTGCAGTCCACCCTTCCTCTCTCAGTATAGTTCTTAAGGCATCTGAAATTGTTAAGACATAAAAGAATATTGAGGGACTAGCAACAAAAGAAATGAACATTAAATACACTCGACAATCATTTTCTATGATTGAAATTCCAACTGAAAAGAACAAAGGCACAGAAGGTATTAATCTTGAAATATATAAACAGCTCTTAATAATCTTATCATTTTCCAAAAGGGGATAAATTCTAAACCATAATTTTGAATATCAAATCTATTGAGTAGAGTTGGATTTCTATAATATATCAATCAGCACAAGAAAGCTATATATAAAAACGTGTTTCTTCTAAAAAACAACAAGCAACTTTACTGCAGGAGATTGATGTTGAACCTAATTGCTTGCCAATACTTGGAGTCAGAGTTAATATGACTCACTAGGGATATGGACATCTCAGAGCAGATTACTAGCAAATTAACATAAGATGCAGAGCAGACCATAAACGCCAGAATAAGGTCGACTTTGATGAAGAGGAGTCTGAAGTTGCATTCTTGTTTTTATTAGCCAAATAGGATTCGTGCACAATGAAACCTACAAAGGTCACAAGATTGAAAATGTTAAGAAAATACAAACTCCAACCTATCTTAGTTAACATTGATTAGAGACCAATCCAACCTAGTATCAGGGGTGAGAAGATGAGTATATGACTACTTTAAACCTTGACAAATCAATTATTTAGCTACACCAACATCTGAAAAGGTGAAACTCTGATGATCAATTCTAAAAGCACTGTATTGCCATGCTATTGACAGTTAGAATGTTAGACCACTGTACATGCCATGATAATTAAAAACAGGTCCTAATAGATTTTAAGCTTTAATTCTCAGTAAATTTTACTGATAAAAGAATCGTTTTCTTTCTGATATCAGGTGTGCGTTTTATGAGCCTTCCGTTTTTCTTCCAAGTGGTTTTATTAGAAGTTCATAAACTGACCAAAGCTCCAGCTTCTGCAGCAGAAGCAAGATGAAGAGCAGGGCTCAGCTTCTCCTCTCTGTTTTTAGAGTACCTTTGCTTAGCTCTGCCATAGCTACAAATAGCACAAAAAATTGAAATTAATTGATTGACATCAAACAGTTTTCAACAAATCAGAACATACTAGCTCTTTTTCCACCCATTGCATATAAAAAGTAATGTGTTCACATCTAAAAGCATCATCAAATGTGTAGTTCTTCGGGAGTTAGTAATTCAAATATATATATATAAAATAAAGTAGTAGTGGCACTTACAAGAAAAAATATAAACCCCATGAAACAGTGGACCCCAACACTGCAGGAAAGAAGCCTGAATAAAGCCCTTTCAAACCCTGCATGACAAACTCATTAAATTGTAATAAGAACTTTGAAAGGAGAAATCCTTAACGCCAATGAAAGTAAGAAAGACATTAAATTAACATGAAGAGGAAAGAAAAAGAAGCACCTGAGCCTAATTACATTACAGATATAATTACATGATTTGGAGTTTATATGACCAATTCAGAAGCTTGAAACTGCAAATACTTAAGCATTACACCTTGACAAGCTAAACTAACAAGATTCTTGGTAAGGACCAAGTCAAACAAACTTCATGAAGAAGAAAAAAGGACTCCCAAAAATACAGAAGGGTGGAAAATGTGCGAACCTCTAAGCGAGTAATGGTAAAAATGGCGTGGGCGGTGTTCTTGTAAGTCGGGTAATTGGTGGCTCGACCATCGTTAACTATTCAAAACTCGATCAGATCAGCACCGAAAAGCTAGACACTTCTATATATATATATATATATATATATGAGAGAGACAGAGAGAGAGAGAGATGGAAGAAGACGACGACCTTGGAATCTCGTACGAACGATGTCCAAAGGGTACATCGCGGCGACAGTGGCGAAACCAGCCACCGCACCGGCGGTTGCGTTTTCCCATTGCCACTGTGATTGTGACATTCCTCGAGTAGCAGGCAGAGAAGCAGCAGCAGAAACAGGCTAGGAACCTGGACCGCCGATCGCATCTCACGCCGCTGTTATTTCTGGTTCATTGATTTGGGCTCCAACTTGTTTGCTACAATTTAATACAACGTCGCTGCTTGTCTCTTTCAGGAAGACCACGGCCCAATTTATTGGGTTCACGGACCCATCAGCCATAGTCATGCTTCGAAGTTGACTTACCCAATATCATAACCCGAAAAGCGATCATATAACAACTCTGCATTACCCAACATCATCAGACATTCGATGCATCAAATATAAATTCTCTCCAATTTATTTATCTGTTGTTGTCATCCAAGACATTAACTTTGGTTGCTAAAAATGCCCAAAACCAACATGTTAGACAAGAAGGAACATCCCATATAAGCCTTCAAAGAACCAAGGACATCTTCGTTTTACTTTTGAGAAAGAACCAAGGATACTATCCAAGTATTATTTGCTATTACAAACCAGGTTGCTATTGTGCCTGTTCATCAATATGCTTCCAGGATGTTGAACACGTTAGAAGTGAATTGCACACATGAAGATGTTTATTCTTTCCCTGTATGTTAGTGTGAGGTTGAAGTACAACATAAATCACTATCCACATATACACTACAGCAATGGAGTGAGACAACTCCACTCTCACATGATTTTCTTTCTCTTTTTTTTTTTTTCACATTATTTGAGGTGTACCTTTGCTCCAGGGCACAAGCTTGTTCATAGCAGTAAAGAATAATTGAAATCCATCAAGAACTATTGAAAGGATTGTTTATAAAATCATTGGTCGTCAAAATTCAATTCTACAACAGTTGGTTTAGAATCATCAAGAAATTACAATGATATTGATCAAAATAAAAACATTACTATGAACTCAGCTGCACTGCAAATCAATTTTGCAAAGAATGTTCTGCTTTAGGAGGAATCCCTAAATTGATCTCCTCCACTGACAGTAATCCTGGCATTATACACCAATATCAGTTACCCTGCATTTTCACAAATTATTTGCAAATGCCTTGCACTTCTTCTTTGTCCCATTTCTCTTAGTGAAAGTCTGGCAAAGTTAAAAAACCAAATATTATTAGTTACTGCATAACATAATTCTACCAACATAGTAGAGCAGTGGCAACTTTTCATTGCAACAATATTCCCCATAGTTCAACTAAATACTCATGACTTCCGTTAATAATCACCTCTTTCCTCTCTTTCCCATGGTTGTCTTGACCATGTTCTAACCAATGCCTAATGGCCTAACAGAGTCTATGGCACAGTTCTGGTTCAGTTCATAGTTTCTTAAACCATCACCAACCTTTGGTTCATGTACGTATACTCTTGTATGTTTCTTCAATTGCTTGAGTGGATTATGTTGCCCCCATCATTTAGAGATACATTGTTCTAATTTTGGTTTAACATTGTTCATTTACTAGTCATCATCATTAAAAATGTTAGGTTGTCAATACAGTACCAAATGCAATCTCTGACCCTTATCTCTTTCCCCCATCTCCCACTCTCTCGCCAATGTCCTCTATGGTTCTAAAATAAGAGACCGTTACCCAGGAAATTATGATCAGAGACTTGTACTCTGCATTTTACATTTCATTAACTAAATCTTACGTCAGTGCAACTAGAACTAACTTTCTTGGTTTCTAATTATGGTGATACATAAATAACATGAACAATAGCAAAAGCGAAAAAGCTAACTGCAAAATCTCTGTACCCGAGCACATCATTGATCTGTTCAGCAGGCAATATAAAATTTCTAAACAACAAGCAATACAAAGAATTATTCCTCTCTCTCCAGTCCAAAGTCTCCCAAAGTTCTTGAATGATACTATCCAATCCAGCCCTTCATAATGATAAACCTCTTACATTGTTGTTTTGCTAATATTCCCAAAGAATCTAGAGCCTAAACCAGACTAACGGAAGGAACTATTTTGAAGAACTTATAAACTTCTTCTCTTCAATCATAGCTTTCTAAACAACTGTGTAAAGCTAAGACTTAAATAAATTCATGAAATTATTACGAACACAAAACTTAAACAAATCAATCAAATTTCCCGTACCTCACTCCATGGAGACTTTAGCTCCAACCTCCTTCATCTTCTGAATAATCTTCTCAGCTTCCTCTTTAGTAACCCCTTTCTTCAACAAAGTGGGCGCCTTTTCCACCAAATCTTTAGCTTCTTTCAACCCCAAATCCGTAAACCCTCTAACTTCCTTAATCACCTTAATCTTAGCCGCCGCATCGAACCCTTCAAGTTTCACATCAAAAACCATCTTTTCCTCCTTCTTCTCTTCCCCTTTCCCGGGCCCACCAGCCCCACCTTTCCCGGCACCTCTCATGGCCCCAGCAAATCCCATGCCCGGCATCATCACTGCCATTATTGGCATCTCTTTAACATCCAGTTTTTGGCGGAGGACTTCGGTTAAGTCCATGACTTCGAGCAGAGTCAACCCGGAGAGTTCATCGACGATTGCGGCGACTTTGTTGGAAGGAGCTTGTTTGGTGGATTCTTGTGATGGGGTTGTGTAATTTCGTGAGAAAGTATGGTTAACGTTGTTTAAAGATTGGATGGCAGAGGAAATGTTTGGATTTTGATGAAGAGTTTTCCGGATTCGAGTTAAATGAGAAGAAAACAAACGTAAATTTCTCATTTCCCTTTCTTCCTTCGTGTTTCAATTTTCAATTAAGGTGCTTTTTGTTTCAGTTCAGTGAGATCATGGAATTGCAAGGAAGCTATGAAGATTGGAGAGGGTTTAGGCATAAGCCATAGTAGTAAAACCTGGTCCAAAAGGTCATTTTTGGGCCTGAAGTCCAGCCCAAACTATTGACTTTAAGGCGTACTAGTTCATTGCTTTCGATTTCAAGCTCCAGTTCCAGCTTTCGAGATGGCAGTTACATCATGCCGACAAGCGATTTTTCTATTAGGAACTCTTGTCTCAAGTTGTATAAGCAGAGGTTTATATATATATATACATATATATATATTTATAATTAGGGAGGGGGATTTGAACTCTGTGTACTAATTAATGAATCAAAAATCAAATGTTTAGATGCTTGTATAACTACCGTTTCGAAAGTGGATGAACTGTCCATGGCAGGGGAGAGTAACCCTGTTGCAACCTGTATCCTCTGCTTTTTGCCAAGGTATTTGATGCAAACGGAAACGGTTTAAGCAGCCTGATTCATTGTGACAACTTCTACAAGTCCTTTATATGGGATAGCACGGTGGAGAAAGAAAGAAGATCCCTATGATCCAAGTAGCAGCAACTACAAGATACAATTACCATGTGACTGGTTGGATCAGTATTTGGGATACAAGGAAGGCAATCTAGCTTCCTTTTTGCTAAGTTGGTGTTGAGATATATGGAAGCTGTTGCGGAAAGCAATCGATTTCAACCCAAATGGAAAATTTATTTTGGTTGTTATGTGAACTCAATGCTAAGGAATTGGAGGCTATACCATGCGTAATGTGAAAAACAATCATTGGTCCATCTCCATATCCAGATTGATTATTATTATAGATTTTCAATAGAACTCATGCCAAGGATGTATTTTTTTACTTACACAATTCTGAATCAATACAAGTCGAAACAATATCACTAGTTGGTATACTAAATTTGCACAAATGAACTTCTTTTTTCTTTCAAAAGGAGGAAAGACAAACAACATAGAACAGGAGACACAGATCCAAACTTTTTATTCATCAAATGGCTCACTTCTAAGTTCTAACGGCTATTAATAAGCATTAACCTTCCTGCAATTCTTTCTGACCTCACCCCTATAACCTGTCAGTGGTGAGATATTTCCCATCTTAATCATGGACTTGGCAAATTGCTGAAAGAAGAGTTCCTGGTTGTAAGCGTATTTCTTCACCAATTCCCTTGATACAGCACTCATAGTAAAAAGAACTTGGTCAGAGTTCAGCAGGCCCCTGTAAGCCAGTAAGATCTTGAAGTAGCTGTTATCGAACTTTATTGGGCTCACAAAATCTAAGAAAAACAGGTTCTGATCACCACCTGATCTTGGACAGTTGGTGCGCAATTGAGCAGCATATGATTGGTCAAGTGTGTAGTCTGGTTGTCCATTGCCTGATTGGTTATAAAGTCTCTGCCTGAAGCTGGTGCATCGGGCATTTCCAATGGTGTGGCTCCCTGCAAGAAAAAAAGTGGGGAACTTGGTCATGCTGAGAACATATAAACTTGTTCTACTTCTTCAGGTTTCTAGGAAAACGCATTCAGCAATGTTATGTCGAGTAATTGGTTTACCAGAAAGTGCTACAAGATCAACAATGTTCAGGCCTTGTAGCTTGAACTTGGTTAGAATTGTTTGAAATGTGTTGTTAGGAGCAGGAATATTATTGTTAGAGCCACTCAAGCTTGCACCTGTGGAATCCCTCCTCCCGAGAGGGACTTCCCAGTTAGGTCCACCAGTCTGCAAATCCAAAGGATGGTTATGGCAATTTTGGACTATAGATAAGAGGCTAAGAGCAATTAAAAAGTTAAGAGACAAGGCTATAACCAAAGGCTGCACTCACCAGAACAGTAGAATCTCTAGCAGCCAGGGCCATAATATCAGCACATGATACCGTATGAGGACACTCTTTCTCCAGTGCAGCTTTGATCTCATCTATGACTTCAAATCCTCTAGCCGAGTTCCGGTTAGGATTCGACCTCTTTTCGCTAATTATGGTCCTGCTGCTGTCCAACAAAATTGATGCATCGCAGCCCTGTGACAACAGCAAGATGTTAAGAGTATTCATTACTTTGTGATATCTCAAAATCTGTCAAATCATTATTAGCTGCATCAAGTGAACAATAAGTAGGTGGTTGAGTGCTTTGGCATGTAGAAGACCTTGACAAAGCAGTCATGGAAGTGTAGCCTAAGCAGTGAAGCAGCCATACGGGCCTCCTTTGCAACAGCTTTGGCTACAATGTACTTGACAATCTCTTGAGCTTTTGGACATGAGTGATCGTAAAACTGAGGGTAGAGGTATCCTCCCGCAATAGTCTTGCCACAGAAACAAGGGGGAGCAACGGCAAGAAGAGAAAGAACTAGGATAAAGCCTACAGAATGACCCATTGTTCCTAAGCTAGCGCCCTACTTGTTTTTGTCTTTTCACTTTCTAGACCAAAACCTACACAGAGAATTTTCAAAACATGCTATGATGAGAGCTCCAAGGGTGATGGGTATTTATAGAGGATACTTGGTTGAATGGTCATCAAAGATATGACAGAAGAATGGGCAAGGGGAGGACAAAAAGGTGGAGTGAGTAGGTAACTAGCTTTGCATCAATCAGGAGCAGGAAACAAATGGACAAGGTTGGAGTAGGTAGCAATATGCCAATATCTGCATGTAAGTGCTGACCAATTGCCATGAAATATAGTTGTAAGAAAATAAACGTAATAGATTTAAGTTAATTATTATTAATAATTTTAATATAAATTTTTAAGTATCATATTAAATTTGAAAAGTAACTTAAAATCTTAAATTTTTAAAAATCATATAATTTAGATTCAAAAGATTACTAGATTGAAAAGTACTTGATAACATATATAGAAAAGATTTAATCTCAGGATTCTCCACATTATCTCCCGTTAGTTTTAGATGTTCCACCATCTATCAAAGACAAAACGAAGAAAACCAATTCATAATCATGCGTTTCATTTTCCATCTCTTTTGCCTAAAACTCATTACAAGCCAAAGATTGGTACATACATGAATAATGATAACGCAATGGGATGATCGGCTTTTGATTACTGAAACAAAAAACCCAGTGGTTTTATGCTAATATTCAAACTAATTATCAGCTAATAATCATATACTTGAACCTCGTCAACCTGAAACTGTTTTAAGTTTGTGCTGATTCCTGCCGTTGAGGACAAATTAAAGTTGATGGGGAACAGGCTCACCTGCTCCGTTGACAAAAACTGAAAACCTCCCGTTGGCTTGGGTCCCTCTAAGTCATTGCCATCTATAAGTACTTTTGATGACCATTAATGCATGCAAGTAACCCACCGCTAAGCAAAGGAGCAAAAAATTACCTTCAAACAACTAGCTAGAAAAGAGGTAAAGAGTACATGCTTCGATGTTTGTGAGTAAAACTCTTAAGATTACCTCTCTCAGTTCTCTAAATCACCCCATGGAAATGAGAAACCTACCCATGTGAGTTGATCTATTAAAAGAAAGCCCTGCTGGAAAAGGTTTAGCACTCTCTTTTATCTTTTTGATTAAGTTGCAACTACCTAGAAAAAAAGGGGTTCTTTGCAGAAGAACCTAATCATCACACCACACTTGGAGAGAATGTTTGTATTATAAATTATAGTTTTAACTCGTTAAGTACTTCCCATTCGTTACGTGTAAAATAAGTTTAGTTTTCATATATTATTAATAAATTTTCGTGAAAGAATTAATCATATAGTATAAGTAACTAAAAAAATATGATTGATTCAGTTTAATTTTTATGATAAATGTTGTATTAAAATTTAAATGAAAATAATATTAGGTGACATGAAGCAAATGTTTTTATATAAACCCTTTGTTCCATTTTGAATCACTCTAATTCGAGAATAGGTATTAATGCAAAGTTTTCATTTATCTATTTTCAGTAAATGGGTAAAGACATGCACGAGAGAGGTTTGCACGTTATTTATGGATTGTTTGACTTTAAACTAACCTTAGATCAGATTGGCATGAAACAGATATTTGATATTTCCATCTATTTGTCTGATTTATATGTCGGGATTTGAGCACAACTAAGCTTAACCAGGAGAAAAGAATATTAGGTTAATCACATGAATACACAAAAATAAAGTGTTCGAATTTTAAAGACCGTTATGCAGTGATAATATATCAAATATAAACTCGTAAAATAAAAACGAAGCTTTGGGTATGGAGATATTTGGGTTAATATTCCTAATCCAATAAGATGATAAAGTTTCTGTTAGGGTAGCCTCGAAAGGGAATTTCTCTCTTTAAAGCAAAGCCATTTTCTTTATCCTCTTGTGATTATAGTCTTTAACATAAGATAATATAAAAAAGCATATCCTAATTCCTAAGCTTTTTCTCTTTTTAATTTTTTAATAGCCTTTCCAACATTGGGTCCATTTGACATTATGATTAACGTTATCCTTTTTAACATATCATGCTGATCGTACACGTGGCAATTTGTACAACAGTCGGTGATTGATTGCCTATACCGGCTCCATGAATCCCTGGAAATAGTAAGAGTGGATTAGTATGATAAAATTGAAACCCTTTGCTCAATCAGAACCACAACATCGAATTTGCTCTGCTTTGAAGTTCACCTTGCAAGTCAGTAGCTTTAAGAAAATGTAGCTGTAACTTCTGTAAGATTAAATTGGTAAATGGAAGCGGGGGGAAATAGTAGTGCATTCTATGAGTTTGGAGGATTTCTAAATACTACGTCATGAAATATTACGATGAGTTATGTTTACACCAAAAATAAGGATACAGAAGATTGCGTATCTTGATAATACCTCGTATTCGGCAGAAGAAAATTCGCATTTTGTAAGGGAAGGACTACAAAATTTATATTGAACCATATTTTCTTTCGCTCGTTGTCCATGTTCCTTGAGCAGCAGCAGGTGGGCGCTCCCAGGAGACTTCACTGGCAAAGGCGGCATTAAGGTCCTCTGCTCGTGAGTAGCCTTGCCCTGCTCCACTCACCTGTCAGAGGCTCTTTGCACATTAATGGGAAGAATTTATACAGAGAACTACTATATTTGCTATCAGGAATGTATTAGAGTCCTCTGAAACAGCTATAACTTGCATGAAAAGAAGCTCACAAGTTCAAATAACATTGTTGGCCACAAAAAATTTCATAAACTTACAGTCTCTAAACAGGCTGAAAGGATTGTCATGCCTGGCAGTGCATCAATCCCCCGCTGCAACCAAGATTCCAAGTAGATATAAATAGGTGCTTGCAGGCATAAATTTTTGTAAACTATCACAAATTACTAAAACATTAGAGTCTAAGCAGCCCACCTGGCGTTCCACTCGTGTCTTGTAAATAAAACCTCCACAGCAAAACAGAGTTGATGAAACCATGAATCTGCCCAAGACCAATTTCATTTTATTAGAACAAATCAGTTAATATAGAAATAAGGGACTTGGAGTATATCATAGGCACAACTCTCACAAACAGCAAATTTCAGAACCAACAGAAGAGATTGATGCTTTGTTTATCTGTAGTAACAGACACTGATGCCCTAGAAAAGGCAAACTCCAGGCCATAAGCATGGTATAGGGTAATGAGACAATTAATCTGTTGGTACAAGCTGGTGGAATAAACTGTGCAAAACACAGGATCCCGTACAGATGATATTTTAATCAGTTTATTTTGCATAGCAGAACACATGTGAGACAAAAGAAGAAATTATTGGAGGTTTCCATACATGCAAGAAATTATTCCAAATATTGCCCACCCTCTCATAGCATCTCCCTCCTGACTTTGTGTGTATTCTGCAAATTTTGGAGAAAGAAAAAAAAATATTAAACTAGCTGATGGCAAGTTCTATTGCAAATGCATCACCATTATCAGAAAGCTACTTGAATAGATTCCAGAAAAATCACTGTTGATAAAACTTCCATTGAACAAAACAGAATCAGGAGCCTACCACATGTTTTTGTTAGAACAAACTCTATTGGTTCATAACCATCCACTGGGATAGTGATGTTAACTTCATATGGGGTATTATGGGCCTTCACGCCTGAGAAAAAAAAAGGGGGAAAGAATTATACAATGGAAATTCAGCAGATTATTATTGAGAAAAAAAAAAACATCATACTGCTGAAGGTAATGGTGTATGTACATCTCCAATCGACAAGCAAAGCTGAGGGTGATAAAGTTGTAGGTAGCTTCCCAGTTACCGCTGTCCCTGATAACTTAACCTCCAGCCCATTTTCTGGAAAGAGCTGAGAAGGACCCGATGCAAAGAATGATAAGATAATAAGCATATTCATTCAATAATCACAGTTTTCTACCCCTTGAACTGACAGGAAAAAGTACCTTGACAATAGGTTTTTGGACTAGGTTGGAATGAGATGAGATAGCAGTCAGATAAAGGGCAACATGTGGCTGTTCAGTGCTGAAGCTGTTCACCGAAACTTTTCAACTCAAAGATTATTCATAAGATGTTGATTGCAAATAATTAAACTAAATAAATCAAATTAATTCACTATGAGAGAATGGAGATTGCAACTCATAATGGAGAATTATACCTAAAGTCATGGTGAGGTTTTTCAAAACCCAACCGAGTCATACCATTGTAAACCTTCAAATCAATAAAATGGAACTTTTTTAATCATATAGTTTCGGCGCATAAATATATGTAGATCAGCTATTTGATGCAAATTCTTACAATTTCCCATGATCGTGGATGAAATCCAACAGTGAAGCCCTCAAATACACGTGGGCCCGGTTTCTCACATGGAATGGCCAGTTCAACAACGGCTCTGGAAAAAATAGAAACAATAAAAATTTAGATATATGTTGTAAAATGGATTTCAATCAATTTTTTGAAGAAGTTAGGAACAAACTGTCAAGTAAAACAATGAGTCTTGTGGTTCGGCACTAGGAATAACAGTCTCTCAGTTATAATATAAAATTTCACTCTACACCGCACCTAACTTGAAAACAAATGTTTAGAGAATAGGAATGAAAAAGAGAAAGAAAGAAAGAAGTCAAAATACTGCTTAATATACCTGCATGTGGATTCATAAGTGACATTGCATATGCATCCATGTTGACCTGAAATTAACATCACAGATAACGACAAAAGTGTTAATGGGTGATACAAAACAAGAGCAGTATTGGCAGTTAAGATTTCAAGGCAAAACAGGGATGGATCCATAACAGAAAGATCCAAATTAATATATCTTTTCCTAATAATCAGCAATTGGTATGGACACAAAAAAATGAAGAGGGAATGAAATGAAAATGATTTAGAGAATGGGAAGGGCAAAGAAACTAGGATAGTTTTTTTAATTTTACTTAATTGGCTCAAGCACTCTGACTTCATGTCTGGAATGCCATTTATTCACACAGCCAGTCCTCAATAAAGGATATGTGGTAGCTGCATCAAATTGAGAGTTAATTGTCACCACCAAACTCAAATTACCTCCTAAGCATGTTAATGCTTAAGCACTACACAAAAATAGTTAGCAGCTATTAACTAGTATGAGCTGAGGAAAACATTATTGGGTAGAGAGGGAGGATGGTCATTTTAACCCATATTGAGTGAAAGAAAATGCATCGCATGAGAAATAACTTAACAAACAATAATATAGGACTTTACTTTGTTACAAACTTTCCATAGAATATCCTAATACTAATTATCATTTCATTCAGCTTCACAAATCTCTCTTTGTCATTTTTGCTCAAAGCAAGCGTCAAAAGGGTTTAAGACACCGTATGAACTCATAAATTCTCAAACAATCAGTGATGGGTGATCTAAACTCCTAGTATATACAACAAAAAGCTCTTGAAGACTTGACATGAAGAGTTCACACACCTTTACATTGCCCATTTAAACAATTTCCACATATAATATTTACCTGAAATACAATCAAAGAGATTCATTAACACATATGCAAATGCCATTAGGAATTTGAATATTCAAATTCACATAATTAGTGACTTCACAATAAATGATAACTTCTAAGAACAGTCATGTCAAATAATTCCCAAAAATTTTGAGAAAGAAACAGTAGCCAATAGACTGACCTGTGCAGTTCGTCCCAATTTGTCAAAGGTGTGCTCACAATTCAGCAGGTCACCATTGTAAAACCCCTATACACGCAGAGAAATTAGATTTAACAGGTTTTATATATCTATGAATCAATATTACAGTGTCAAAACTTAAACAGAGGTGTTGACATGATGCAACATATTGCATTAAGCAGGCAAACAAAATTTCAATCTCAGGAATGAGAGCATGAGTTGCCAAGTGACTAGAGGTAAAAGAAGAGAACTCAGAAAACAAGCTTCTCATACAAATTTATCTCTTTTTACACCATCAATAACAACCAAAAAGAGCCTAAGCTAACAATATAGCAATCACTCATTCCTATTGCATCAAAGGGAGCAAGGAAAGGTTCAGCATACCCTCATTTTTTATAGTTACTACTTCACAAATAAGCAGTTGAAAACCAAACAGACTTACTTGAACAAGGTCAACATCGCCTGAACCAGCAACAAAGTGGTTAACATTATCGAATCGACCAAAATCTACATATCCCTGCATAATTATGAGCATTAAACATATTGTCAAATATACTCAACAAGCTTGCTGTTATGGTAAGTAAAGCTACTGAAGGAGCAGAAAAAATAGCCCCAACTTTTAAAATGATTTCTCCGTTATCATCAAAACACAAAGGAAAAGCAAAGCAGATTTTCGAAGAATGAAAGTGCAAATCAGTACTTTCAGCCAATTAAAAACGTTTTAAAACATTGGCTTTTCCAAGGACGTCCTCATAAATGAATAACATATAAACACATTGATTTAGTACTTAAGAACATGAAGTAATGGACTACCGATTGTGATCTACTCTCCACATCTTTGCAAAAGCGGATGACAAAGTCAGCGTCCTGCATCAAGAGAAATACCAATATGTAATAAGCTCTCGACATGAATATTTATAAACAGTAAATAAAACAATGTCACCAAGGGAAATTAGAGACGTTCAACATTTGAAACCACGCTAGGATGTTACCTCTCCCTCATGCATAAAAGAAACTCCGACCCAACCACTCTAATCAACAGCTTAAGAGAAAACAATCTTGCTCGATATCAAAGCCACCAGTTCATCCAACTGGAAATTTAAACTAGAAATGCTCATTTTAAAACCAACCAATGATTCAGACATCTATTTGAACTTTACAACAACAACAACAACAACAAAGAAAAAAGTAACAAAGGATACGAAATCCAATAGACGGCTAGAATTATCAAGCGCGTAGCAATTGGATGTCGGGACAGCAACTGAGGCAACGGTAAGTGCTTGTGAAAGGACAGCTACAAAGAAAGCAGATTCACTTGCATTAAACAGTTTAAAATAGTTAACAAATACTTCATAACAGAATCAAATAGGAAAACATACCTGCCAGTGCCACTGCTATGAACATGAAACCAACATTTAAACAACAATTTACACTCCGCATTTCTTCGCGCATTCAAGCAAGCATGTCCTGCGAGAATCAAGCTAACTTCAGCTTAAATTATATTACCAACAATGATTTTAAAACCTGGCCAAGTTGGAGTAAGATTCTTCGGACCAAATGAATAACCGAGATCTGAAAATAATCTAATTAGAAAAAAAAAGTAAATAAAATTCACGGAAATTCAAAACAAAAATTCTACTTACTATTTTCTGATTATTCCGGATTTTGATGTTCTGTCGTTCTTTAAAAAGAAAACAGTAAATCAAGATGAAAATGATGAAATAGCAGAGAAAATGCCTAAGTAACTTCGCCGGATCGTCGATGCTACGTGTTTAACGAGACAGGGGAAAAGGAATCTAAACTACAATAAAACGGTGTGTTTTGAGCAGAGGGAGAAAATAATAAAGTAAACAAAGAGACGAAGGAAAGGGTTGCCGTAGTTTCAAGCCGATTAGATTCGGCTTGGATTTTGTTCTCTCTTGACCCAATTAGTTTAAACTTAAGAGTTCACGAAAAAAAAAGATAATTAAAAATAAAATAATATATAAATTATTTTAAAATAATAAAAAATATAATATAATATTAAATTTTGTTGAATACATTTGTATTTTAAAAGTTCAAAAAACACAACCGATACTTTATAATATGAAAATTCATAAAAAAATTATAACATTGAGAAATTTTTAAAAATACGAATGTTTTAAAAAAATTATCTTTGATTTATCTATCTAATCAATATATAATGTTTTCAATATATGAATCTCCATGGCGTTGTCATTTTAAAAATTTTAAAAAATATTTTTGAGTTTTCTATTGATGGTGGGTCAAGTATTTAGTTATTTATAAAGGGTGTTTTTTATTTTTATTTTTTATAATATTGGGAACATTTTCGCTTTTTTTCTTTAAATGGGAGGGTAATTTATGATTTTAAATTTGTTTTTTCTTTTTCTTCTCTTTCTCTTTGTTTTTAATGTTCTTTTTGTTTTCCTCCCCATGCCCTCCTTGGCCGGTCTGCCTTCTCTTTGTTACCACTTTGAACGCATTTTCTCACCAATTAGGCACTACTCACCAACTTCGCTGCTACAAGTGTTTTATGATGTATGAAAATTATTGAAATTGTAAATCAGTGTAATTTGTTTATTTATTTTACACATATATATGTATTATTTTTAACATAAATAATTTGTCATTTTATCATGTACAAAAATAAATTCATTATTACATTTTTTTAAACAATCTAAGAATAATTGTAATACTCAATTATTAATGTTAATAAATAATTTTTGCTAAAATTAAAAAAATATATATGAATTTTTTATAAATATAATCTTAAAAATATATATAGACACTCTTTTAATATTTGTCTAAAATTAAAAAAAAATCTAAAAGAAAATTGAGAGGAAAAATCGAAAAATGAAATTAAGCCAAGTCAAGTGACAAACACGTGACCAAATTTCAAATACCCTTCTCCAAACCAAAAACTAAAGTCAAAATTAGGGTTCCACATTTCAATGGATCGAGAAATGGACAGAGAAATCTGCGGTTGGATTATCGAATTCCTTGTTCGTGAATCAACCGACGAAATGTTGGTGAAGAAACTCATCCAAGCATTCCCGCCTTTGAACGGCAGGCCTCGGCTGAAGAAAACGCTGCTTCTCCACTCAATCAGAAACGAAATCCTAGCCGGCAACGTTTCCGAGAGGATACTTGATCATTTGGAGAGGATCGAGCGCATTGACCGCAGCCAAAGGCTCAGAATCCCGGACTCCATGAGGCAAGCTTACTGCGCTGTCGCACTTGAATGCACCGCCAAGTACTTGCCTGGAAGCTCGGATCGGAATGGCAAGTATTTGGATGCGGTGAACAGAATATGGAGAAGCAGGATTGAAAATCTGGAAAAATCAAAGGCATCCAAGTTGGTTTCCGAGCGACTGAGAAGCCGTCGACGTCAAGTGGAGGCTGCCGTCGAGGACGAGGAGTTCGCCAACGTGTTAATTACAATTAATACGCTAAATGACGCGATGCTCACCCTTAGGATCTATCTACGCGAAGCGCTGGCCTCGATGGGTCCGTCATTCCTTAAAAGCCAATGTGACTCAATCCTTGAAAGAGAAAATGGGTCCATTTCTGGAGATGTGTAGGAGGAATTCACTTGCCGGAGAATGAAAAAAAAAAGGGTACGCTTTGGCTATTCTTTATCCTTATTCCTGATTCATCAATACGGCTGATGGCATATAGAACCCAAGTAACGAAAACTGCTTCTGAATTCTGATGCTATTATCTATTAAGAGGAATGTAAAAAACATAATCATGTCGAACTGTTATCTTTGGTTAAAATCTCTCAGGATGAAGACATAAAATGAAAGAGGAATTTGGGTTTCATATCCGGTATTATGATATAGAGAGCCAATGCAAACTTAAGTTTTCCATAATTACATTCAAATTCTTATACTGTTAGGTTCATAATGAGTAGTGAATATGAAATATGTCTAGGCAAGAGTGAATTAAATCCATCCCCTCGTACTCTTGCGAGTACGCAGATCTATTGAATATTTCTAATTGTTGCAAATTTAAACATAGGTATCTTAAGCCAGTCTTTGCCGTAAGCTCTTCTATGCCTTCCCTGCCGTTGAAGCTCCGCCAGTTGGAGTCATAAAAGTGGAAAAATGGAGAAGAGGTTTGCATTGTCACCGTCCTTTTCCACAAAACGATCTTCTTGACGACTACTAAAAAATTTAGTATCCTTCTGAGTAGAAAACGGATTGGTTTTGTTCCTCTGTGCTTCTCTGTGGTGGCTCCGTTACAAAGGGACAACTCTGATTGGATGAAACAGTTAGGAATCCTTTCGATCTTTATGTCAATAGATCTCTTCTTGTTCCTCAATCTTTGGAGAAGGCAGCATTGTATTGTCGTTAGTTCTCTTGTTATTACTATTATTATTTATATAATATATTTTTTTGAACTTGGACGTGGTTCGAATTTTGTTTTTCATTCGGTGAAGATAATACATTAATTAATAAATTAAATATTTAAATGTTATTATTTATATTTTTAATTAAATTTAAAATTTTTTATTTTTAATTTTTAAAAAAATTAAGTAAAAATGTATTCTATTTAAATATTATTTTAATAAATTTATTTAATGCATTGTTTAAGTTGGATTCAAAATGAGACGATTCATTAAATTATGTAATCCTTATAAAGACTAATGTGGTTCATATGGCATGATATTCAAAGGCTAAATTAATTACTAAATATTTTATTTGTTGTTTCTCAAATTTTTTAGATGATTATCTATTTTTATATTATATTCAATTAAGCTTTTAAGAGTATTATTTTTATTTAATTAAATTCTTATTTCACATAATGTTGTTGTTTTTTTTACCATGTTTACCTATCATATGGTCGAAAAAGTTTTGTCTTTGTTGACGTGGCATGTTATGTATATGTCGATTTAACTTGATTTTTTAATATAATTTATCACATAAATTCTAATTTGATAAATATAACACTCACGATAATATTTATCAGTTTTTTGTGATTTTCATATAAAATAAGGGTTTAATTAAATAAAAATAATATTTTAAAAGCTCAATTAGGTTAAAAAAGTTACAAATTTATATAAAGAATTTGATAAAGTACGATGGCTTTTTTATAATATTTTAACCAAAATCAAACATTCCAAGTATAAAGAGTATTCAAAAGGATTTTATGTAACACTTTAAAAAACAACAGCACTAACATTACATCCAAATAATGACAAATAAACATTGATATTCTATTTCGCAACTAACATGTAAATACAACTACAACATATCATCAAATAAAATAAAAATGTTATTATAAAAAATTGTATATTTAATTAACTCATATCAAGAAACCAAACTAAAACTCTACCAAAATATATTGAGTTTGTTTATATAATTTAGGTATAATGCTTAAAAAAACTTGAACTATTTAAGAAAATTTAAATAAAATTTTATTCTTTTATTATAGTCAAATAAATTTTTATATTTTTATTTTAAATAAAATAAACGTTTAAAATTAATAATTGACTAATTACTGTTAGTCAAAATATCATTGTCATTCTATATTATGTTATACTGATGTGACATATTTAAATATTATAATAAACGATAATATGTCATGATGTTATGATTATGTGACTTTTTCACTTTTTATATCAACATCGAGTATAAAAATAATAAATCGTATTTTAATTAATGATAATTAATCAACTATTAATTATAAAAATTGATTTGATCTAAAATAAAAGTACAATGATTTAATTAAACATAATAATAGAATAAAAAATTATTTAAATATTTTTTAAATAATTTTAATACTTCTTCAAATATTATGTTTATAATTTAATTAAAATGGGATTAAATTTTGAATTTTTTTCCCTTAAGGTAAACATTAAAATGGTAGATTTTAATCATAAAATAAGTACTAATCATATTTTGTTTGACTTAAATAACAGAAAAAAGATCCCCGAATTGTAACCATTTATCAACTAAGCTCTTAATCTACTATTACACATAAATAATTTGCACTTGAATAAACCTTTAACAAAAAATTAACCATTGATAAATTTAATATTAATTAATATTTTCTATTCATGTAACATGTCGTAAACGGATTATCGTGTTTAGTTATGTCAATTATTATCTAATCATGTTATATGTCACGTTAAATCAAATAATGATTAATTATTAATTAAATTTAAAAGTTTTATAAAAAATTAAAAAGCTCTAATACTATAAAAGTGAGAGATTTAAAAAAAAGTCATAGTAAAAGAGTTTTTTTTTTCAATTTCATTTATAGTTATTGTTAGTTGTAATTAACAAGTTGAGTGGTTGTAACTTGTAATTACCAGTAACTAATCACACTTGTTTTAAACCACGCAACACTGCTCACGGCAGACGCCATTGAAAATCATTTCATCTCTTCATCTAAAAGGTAATTCCCTCACAAACTCCGAGTCTTGGAACGCGAAAACCAGTAAAATCGCAGTCAAAAAACTTGGAAAGAAGGGATTCGGAAACCAGAACCAAAAACCTTGTTCCAGGTGTCCCATCCCACACAGCCAAATGTACGTCTTCAGCTGCTCAAATCCGCCAACGAACAAAGCCCTAAGATGCCAATACTAGCACCACCTTCTTCACTCGATCCGTCACTATCCAACCCTAACCCTAGACCAAGGAGGAGAAGAAGAAGATGGCGAAGCACGCCGGCTGGGGCCACCACCACTTGCAGAAACGATGGATTTTGGCTCTTCTCTTGATGCTCTCTGTTTCCACGGTGATTGCCTTCTTCGTCAGAGCCGCCTTTGATTCCTGTGATCGGAACGTATCTGCTGATAATGCTATCGGCTCGGCTCGGAATGCTATCCAAGTCGCCGAGAAGCGGGTGTCGCAGATCGCTGCTGCAAGGCCGAATCCGCTGAGCTTCATGAAGTCCAAGATTGTTCTATTGGTGTCGCACGAGCTCTCGCTTTCCGGTAATCTCCTTTTCTGTTTGTAGCTCTCTTTAGTGAGTTTCAGTATTTTGGGATTAATTTCTAATTTTACGTGTTGAAGTTTGTTATAATTTCCAAGGTTTACTGTAAAGTGACTTGTAAGGGTTTATTTTTCCCTACGGTTGTTCCATTGAATAGAATTGCCAATGAATCGAATTTTTGTGGGAGTAGCTTCGAGGTGGCCTTGTTGCATTGTCTATAGGCCGCCTTTGCAGAATTCTAAATCGATCTGTGGACTTATATAAATGAGGTTTAAGAGAATTTAGAGGAACTAGCAGAGGATGTACATGGATTGTTACAGTTAGTATTTTGTTCTGCCACGCAAATTGCAAAAAGCCATAACTGTTGGGTTTATTCTCAATTGAAGTAATTAATAAAAGAAATATTTGCATGTGCATTAAATACTATTTGACATTTGTGGAATGTCAGATTTAATATCATTGTTTTAGTGACTTGCAAATTGTTTGCTAAGTTTCTTTAATTTTGAATTTTGGAAAGCATGTGAGTATGTCTGCATATTCTCCTATCATGTTGAATTTCCTCATAAAATTTGGAAAGAACACCACATGTACATTATAGCCCTGTACATATTAATGGAATCCATTTATCAAGTTTTGCCATTTTGAAGCACAGAAAACATATTTCACCAGTGTGCTAATATCTTGGCGTTTTGGTAGGTTTAATCAAATTTTGAGGTTCTGTGGACATGTTTGTGGCTCATTTTTTCTTTCCAATAGATAACAATAATTATAAAAATGTCTTAAATTTTGAAATTCTCTTTAATTCCTAGGTATTCTTCATGTAAATTTTAGAATATATTTTTGGCGTTTTGTTAACACGTGCTTTGAATCGTGTGTGCATATAAACAATCTTCATTTTGTCATAGTACAGCGTCAGTTTGTCCTTGTCAATACCATTCATGAAAAATTGTTTTTACCAAATCATCGAACTTTTCCATCATAACGTAATGTCTGTTGCTTCCAGCTGTCAATGGTTGCTCACTCATGTTGACATGTTATGTGATCTCTAATTTGTGTTTTTGCTACCCTATCTTTACTGGTAGATGTTTTTCTCTTAGACAAGCCTTTGCTGGAAGATGTATTTTATTAATTAGAAATAAAGAAAACTTATGTTTGAAGATGGTTGTTATTATCGTCTTTCCTTGTGAAGAGGCTATTTAGAATTCATTGCTGTCATCATTATTCCTTTTTATTATGTTTCCTTTTCTTTTTCCAGGTGGACCATTGTTGTTGATGGAGCTGGCATTTCTATTAAGAAGTGTTGGTGCTGAAGTTTATTGGATTACGATTACAAAACCATCGAAAACAGACGAAGTAACATATAGCTTAGAACATAAGATGTTGGACAGAGGAGTACAGGTAGTAAGTATCTGGATTACTACTCTTTAGTTATATATCTGTTTACGGTGCTTGTACTATATAATGATGCAGCTTTATATTACTCAATATGATGGATTGGCATTCTATTGTGAAGGCTTAGATGATTGCATTGTGAATAGTACCTTGCCTCTTATTAGGCTTTTACTTGTGTTATCAGGTTTTCTCTGCAAAGGGTAAAGAAGCTATAGATACTGCTCTAAAAGCTGATTTGGTTATTTTGAACACTGCTGTTGCTGGGAAATGGCTGGATGCTGTTCTTAAGGAAGATGTTCATCGTGTTCTGCCAAAGGTGTTGTGGTGGATCCATGAAATGCGAGGCCATTACTTTAGATTAGACTATGTAAAGCATCTTCCTTTTGTAGCTGGTGCCATGATTGATTCACATGTTACAGCAGAATACTGGAACAATAGGACTCGAGAGCGTTTGAAGTAAGATTCTAAATGCTCTCTCTGTGCTTATTGTTGCTTCAAAATATTAATATTTATTCTATATCCATTGCAACACAAATCCGAACAAGCTTCTCGTGCAGTAACTTTGTCAGTTGATATACACATTTCAGGTATCTAAGTTTTAATGAAAAATTTGACTCATTATTTTTGTTTCATTCATCTACTATTTGCAGGATTAAAATGCCTGACACCTATGTTGTTCACCTTGGAAATAGCAAGGAACTGATGCAAGTTGCAGAAGACAATGTGGCTAAAAGGGTTTTGCGTGAACATGTTCGTGAATCTCTTGGAGTGCGCAATGAAGATTTACTTTTTGCCTTAATAAATAGTATGCTTTTCAGTTTTCATCTGGGCTAGATTTTCTCTTCTTTTTCATTTTCTCCAAATCAATGCACCTAGTTTTATCTGCACCTAGTTATGTTGTGAAACTCTCCTCCCCTCAACCACCACACCCCACCCCCACCCCCCCCCCCCCCCAAAAAAAAAAAAAAAGGAAAAGAAAGAAAATCATGTAGCTTTGAGTTCTGTCCAACTGAAGGTGATGGTAAGGATGATAGTTTGGTTCTTTATATCACATTTTGCAAAATTTTTCCTTTCTCCCCTCAATCATTATATTATTTTTCGTTGAACACCCATCCACTCTGCCCTAATTTTTCTTCGATTTTATAGTTTTATAAGGCAAATGAAAGAAGGTAGAAAGAAGGGTAAAACACTAAAACTAAAGAGCATATGGTTTTCTGCTATTCATCACTAATAGTACTGAACAACTATTTACCTGCAGGTGTTTCACGAGGAAAAGGGCAGGATCTCTTTCTACGTTCCTTTTATGAGGCCTTGCAACTGATCAAGGAAAAGAAAATGCACGTGCCACCATTGCATGCAGTAATTGTGGGAAGTGACATGAATGCTCAGACCAAATTTGAAACAGAATTACGGGATTATGTAATGCAAAAGAAAATTCAAGGTCGTGTTCACTTTGTGAACAAAACTCTGACAGTAGCCCCATATTTAGCTGCCATTGATGTTCTTGTTCAGAATTCTCAGGTAATTGATTTGGTTTAAACTTTAAATTTTAATGCATTCTGTGTGTCAAATATAATGTATACATCAATTAGTGAAATTAATCTAATTTGTCATCTTTTTTATGTAAATTTTGTCCCTCAATTGTTTATGAAGAAGCTAATAGTAGATACTAACCTAAATACATCTTTAACTTCTGTTGCTGTTTCATATCTGGAAGTATAGAACATAGGCAGAACTCAGAAAAATATTTGAAGGTCCTTCTTTTACCATAGCATTTGCTGACATATATCAAGTCTCAGCCAGTTATTGACTTGACAACGTTAATAATTGACTTATTGACATTGGTTTTCTGGTGGTTAGGGGGTCAGCACTTCCATTGTAGTAATAATTACTTATATGTTTCATGTTCATTCTCCCATTGCTGTTCTTAGAATAATCAAAATTCTAAGGCACCAAAATTTTAAATTCAGATGCTAAAATGTGCATCTCATTGAAAACTTACAAACAACACCTCAAGTTTAGTTTGTTCCAGCTAATATTTTATGATTACTTAAAAATGTGTCTGCAAATGAAGATAGAGTTTCTTTCTTCTATTCATCTAATTAATGGACTGTAGAGCCCAGTTTATTTGAATAGGTTTCTTATCAACTGAAAGAATAATTCAAGGGATGCATGTGGAGGTTTTGAATTTTTTGACCTTTGTGTAGGCTTTTGGATTTTTACTAATTTTTTTTATCAGTTCTTCTGTCCATGATTAGGATTTAATTATACAGTAAGAACATCTTGTTCTCTACTTAAAAGTTACTTTGAATATAGAATAGGAATCACAAAAAGTTTTCTTACATGTAGGCACGGGGAGAATGCTTTGGAAGGATAACAATTGAAGCCATGGCATTTCAGTTGCCTGTACTGGTAATCCACGAACTTTACCTGGTTTTCTTTCATGTGGTGTTATATTTAGTGAGGCTTATAACCTTATGGTATATAAAATACGTGGAACTCACTCACTGCTTATGTTCTCTACCCAGGACTAACTAGAGCTGTTTTTCGATATTTATGTTGTTTATGCAAAACAGGGAACAGCAGCAGGAGGCACCACGGAAATAGTAGTGAACGGGACTACAGGTTTATTGCATCCTGTTGGAAAAGAGGGGGTTACTCCACTCGCAAAAAATATCGTCAAACTGGCTACTCATGTTGAGAGGAGGCTTACGATTGGGAAGAGAGGCTATGAAAGGGTCAAAGAAAGATTTCTAGAGCACCACATGGCGGACAGAATTGCTGGAGTACTGAAAGAAGTGTTGAGGAAGTCTAAAGACAAATCACATGGGCACCTCTTTTGAACCCCCAAAACGACGAGGTCGATCCGGTTCCACCGAGAGCAGCCATGGTGGCCCTAAGTACAGGCTAAAATAGGATGCCAGCTTTTTTTTTTTTTCTTTTCTTTTTCTCCCATAATGGAGTGACATCTTTAATTATGGGTCTAGCTTCCTGTCTTGTTCCCATCCAGTTTTCCATATAGGGATGTAAATCATGTACATGCTAAGACAATTTTCAATAGCTGTTTATATAGTTGAGAAGTTCCTGGAGATATGAGGAGTCTTTTACTTGTTAAAAGATACCAAGCATTAGCATCTGGAAAATGAACAAATGATACCACTCATGGTTATGTTCAGATTTAATCGGCTTAATAAAAGAATCCCAGCTCAAGAGGCTCGAGTAGTTCTGGAATCTCGAGCAGCAGGCAAGTATAAACAGGTCAGGCACCGTCCCGTTGCCACCCCTTCTTTTAGAATCCGTACTTGGAGCTGGAAAGATCTTGATCTCAGTATTTCAACTGTGTAATGGTAGCTCTCTCCCAGAAATTCTCTACATCGTCTCTAAAATTTATCCCAAAACAGTTCTGTCAATACCACCTGCAACAAATCCAATTCCAAACAACCCAACCTTTCATTCCCTTCTCTCAACTTCAAAACCAACGCAATCTGTTAGAATCCCATCTCATTTCCACCCTCAATGGCTGCACCTCCCTCGCCCAGATCAAACAGACGCATGCTTACGTTATACGTAAGGGCCTTGACCAATGCTGCTATATCCTCACCAAACTCGTGCGAATCCTCACCAAAATGGGAATCCCCATGGATAATTACGCTAAGCTTGTTTTTGACCAGGTTGAATACCCGAACCCATTTCTTTGGACTGCTCTTATCCGTGGCTATGCTTTACAAGGTCATGTTAAGAAATCGGTTTGTGTGTATAGTTGTATGAGAGAAGAGGGTTCTTTGCCTGTTTCTTTTACATTTTCAGCTCTTTTTAAGGCTTGTTGTACGGTTCTTGATGTGAACTTGGGCAGGCAAATCCATACCCAGACGATTTTGATTGGTGGTTTTAGTTCTGATTTGTATGTTAACAATAGCTTGATTGACATGTATGTTAAACTAGGATTTTTGGGGTGTGCGAGGAAGGTGTTTGATGAGTTGCCTGAAAAGGATTTGATTTCTTGGACAGAGCTGATTGTTGCGTATGCGGAACTTGGGGATATGGAATCTGCAGGGGAATTGTTTGATAAGTTGCCTATCAAGGATATGGTGGCATGGACGGCAATGGTTACAGGGTATGCGCAGAATGCTAAGCCTCGAGAGGCATTGGAGTTTTTTGAGAGAATGCAAAATGAAGGTGTGGAAACAGATGAGGTTACCTTGGTTGGGGTTATTTCTGCTTGTGCACAATTAGGTGCTGCTAAGTATGCGAATTGGGTTCGGGGTATTGCTGAGAATTCGGGGTTTGATCCTACTAGATGTGTGGTGGTGGGATCAGCTTTGATTGATATGTACTCGAAGTGTGGGAGTGTGGAGGATGCATATAAGGTTTTTGAGGCAATGGAAGAAAGGAATGTATTTTCGTACAGTTCGATGATTGCAGGGTTTGCTATGCACGGTTGTGCTTTTGCAGCATTCGAATTGTTTCATGAGATGTTAAAAACAGGGATCAAACCAAATAGAGTTACGTTTATTGGAGTGCTTACAGCGTGTAGCCATACAGGAATGGTAGAGCAAGGTCGTCAAATATTTGCATCCATGGAGGAGGAATTTGGGGTTTCTCCAGCAGTTGATCATTATGCTTGCATGGTGGATCTTCTTGGTCGGGCTGGATGTCTGGAAGAAGCACTTAACCTTGCAGAAACGATGCCTTTGGAGCCTAATGGGGGTGTTTGGGGGGCATTGCTTGGAGCATGTCGCACTTATGGGAATCCTGATATCGCTCAGATTGCTGCTAACCATCTATTTGAGCTGGAACCTAATGCTATTGGAAACTATATCTTGCTCTCTAACATATATGCTTCAGCAGGGCGGTGGAATGATGTTTCAACAGTAAGGAAACTGATGAGAGAGAAAGGTCTGAGAAAAAATCCTGCATGTAGCTGGTTGGAAGCGAAGAAGGGGGTAATTCATGAATTCTTTGCTGGGGACATGACAAATCCAAGGTCTGGCCAGATGAAGCAGGAGCTTGAGGATCTTCTAAATAGGTTAAAGGCTCTTGGGTACCAACCAAACATGAGTTCTGTTGCTTATGATGTGAATGATGAAGAGAAGAGGCGGTTACTAATGGCTCATAGTGAGAAGCTAGCTCTGGCATTTGGGCTACTTACTATAAGTGCTGATTGGCCGATTAAGATTATGAAGAATCTAAGAATATGTGAAGATTGCCACTTATTTATGTGTGGCGTATCTCAAATCACTGGAAGGGTGATTATTGTAAGGGATAACTTGAGATTTCACCATTTCCAAGCTGGGAAGTGTTCCTGTGGTAACTTCTGGTGATTGAAGGTGGAAGCTGAATAATTTTTCAAGGTCCAATGCTGATGCATTTGAATCCTTGGTCCAGTGAACTTCACTGGCTATATTTTCCCCATAACTATGAGATTTTCATTGCTCTAATTTCAAGTAGTCAAAGAGAGTATTTATTTAGCAACATGAGTTGATGTATACAACAATAAAGCTAGATTTCCAACGCAGAAACCAGCCAATAAAGGAACACATATCTCTTATTATACTCTGCCAACACTCTTTGATCACCTGTTTGTCACGAAATGCGCACTTGTTAGCTACACTCGAAACTAGCATATTAAAGATATCTAACTCATTCCCGGGATCATCTCCTTGATCTTGTCGAGCATTCCTTTCTTCTCATAGTGCTCCTGCTGCTGCCCTGGTGCAGCGGTTGAGGCATCAGGATATTTGTCATTGGCCCTGTTGCCCTCCTCCTTTCAAATATTGAAACGTTTATCTCAGGAAATTAATCAGACAGATATTCTCTATGATGTGATGTTTAGAACTGACAAATTGTAGTGTACAATATTGTATATGTTCATATTATGCTATAGTTTTAAATTCTCACATAAGAAATTTGTTCATAGATAAAGAGAGTTTGATGTCATCAACGAGCGAGGATAAGTAAGGATGAGTTAATTGAAAGAAACCCATTGTAGTTAGAAAGCATAACTTGCAGGAAAAGCTTGATAAGGAAGATGAACTTGAGGAATGAGGGAGCATGCCAGGGGGATTGCCGTTCTGTGGGTCAGTCTCCTCACCAGTAGTTCCTACATGCTTTGGTTATTCAAGTTTTGGCATTGGTTCCTCGGTGGTCATGCGAGCTTCAACTTGAGCAGGCTGGGATTGATCCCCACAGTATGCCATTGTCAGGTGTAGTCTGCTATTCTTCTTCTCTCTGCTGATCAGTTTAAAGCTAAGGTTCTTGTTTCGAGTATGGGTTAAACCTGAAATGCCCGAGGGTTTTTATAGACGAGAAAGAAATAATGCAGCAAGTCAAGAGTTGATCGTGCACGTTTCCATGGCGTTGGCTTGGACAACCAGGACAGCTATTACTAAAGCAACCCAAATGTAAATCTTTCTCATACGAATGAGGCTTGGATCGATCCTACCTATCTGTCTAGGATTAAGCGAAAGATATACGTTTTCTAGACGGAAATCCATTTTCCGTCCGACGAGAATTGAATTGCGAACAGCTAATTTGTATGCTATAATTTTTGCTAGGATGGTAAAAAATTTACTCTCAATTTCCGGACAAAAGAACAAAAATCAGAAGAGTTGTTTGCCATAATACGTGAAACTTACTTGATCTAACTCATGACAACCATTTGTCATTGGATAATGGCATATTTAACTCGTGGAGTTTCTGCCAGAAAAAGCCATAAAAATTAAACAACATATTAGGAAAGCTTTAATCGGGCCAAACAGCTAAACCCAAAGATAATGGTCCCAAAAGTTTCGTTTTGGATTAATTAGCATCATATCAGGTTTAGGGGCCCAAAAAGTATTTCGTCAAAGGGTTTTTGCTTTCATCTTCGTATCGATTTCTTTGCATGCATTTTGCTGCCACTTTGAACACAACAATGTACATAAACAAATCCTTTGTTCCCCTTTTTTCTGTTCCCAAAAACCCAGAACTGGTGATCTTAGTCTTTACAGGGCAAAAGTTGAGAGACGAGCCAACATGACATGAGGAGATCAGCAAACATATCTCTTACTTTACCGTCTTATTATATATGATCTTTTATTGCTGGAAATTAACGTTTATAGTAGTACACATTCGCATATAGAAAAGCAAATCAAGGGCTGTGGTGGCCAGGGAGCTTCTCCTTGATCTTATCCATCATTCCTTTCTTCTCGTGCTGTTGCCCCGGTGTCGTTGTTGATGCTGGTCCTTATGTCCACCTGGTAGCTTCTCTCTTAGCTTATCCTTCAGACCCTTCTTCTTCCTCCCCGTTCCCTCATCTTCAGACTTGCCCATAAACATACATCACAAACGATTATCTCATAATCAGAGTAAAACTTATTTACAAATTTATATTCATGAAAAGGTTACAGTAACTTACAGAGCTACAGCTGGAGCTTGAGTCAGTGCGGTGGAGTCCGTGATGATGCCCGCCAATCCCTGCGATTCCATGCCCGGTCTCATGCTTGACAATCGGGTTGCCGCACTAGTCTGTCTGTCCTGCGAATAGGGTTGCCAAATTCGTCAGTTTGGGAAACTTCAGCAGCAGGATGCTCATTCTGAAAGCGTGCCATTTTCAATCGTGTAACTGGTTCCTTCTGACTTCTTTTCTCTTGTGGAAAGCTGATACAAGGGTATCAAGGCATTTTATAGAAGAGAGAAATAAGGTGTAGCATGTTTCCGTGCATCCCGGACGTGCCACCAGTTTTCATGCGAATTGCCACGTTATGGTAGGGGGAGCTTGGGTGTCACATAAAACTTAAGGACAAGTATTGGAGATGTCGGGTTTAGATGAGATCGACCATTTAGATTCTAGAAGTAAAAGCACTTTGACTTGTAAAACGACCTTAAATACTCATCTAACTTAACTCACAACTATGATCATATATGACCTAATCTAATCGTATATATGCTTGATCAATGTCATTATCTATTTAGATATGTTATTTAAAAAAATTTTAAATTATTTTTAAAAATTTTAATTTTTTATTGTATTTAATAAAATTTTTATATTTTTATTTTGAGTCAAATAAAATTTTATAACTAATGATTGATTTTTATTATTAATATCAAAATATTAATTGTAATTTTATATTATATAATGTTAACATGGGATATTAATATACCATTTTATGTTGATGTGACTTGATCACATATGATATTTTTACTATTAGTGTTATGAGAGTATAACTAACAAGCACATTTTAATTAATAATACTAAGAACTTTTTGACTATTTAATCAATTATTAACCCTAAGATTTTTTTATCCAAAATATAAAAATTTAAGAATTTAATTAAGTGTAATAAAATAAAAAAATTTATTTAAATTCTCACAAATAGAATTTTTTGCAACTATTATATATTATTTTAATATTAAATGTTATAATCTAAATATATCGTACAACTATTTTAAAACTAATCTTATTTACATTAAGCTTTGAATACTAATTGGGCCTGCTTAGGCTCATATCTAGCACGGTTCTTTTAAATTTTTTTCTTTTTCTTCCCCAATCTTGGAAAGTTGTTCTTTTTCTTGAAAAAGAAAGACTAAACTGGCTGCCAATGGACTTTTGCTCTATCTAGATCATAGCATACTTCTTAATCATTTTGATTTGATAGATAGTGATCTCATTAATTTTGTCTTTATTAGTAAGACTAAGCACAGATTGCCAAATCAATGAGCCGGGCAGGAAAGCAAATCCACCTTCAATTCACACAAAAGGTGACCCTAGAAATAGTTCACAAATATGATTTTGGCTTGACTTGGAAAGATCAAAGCAAATTCTACTTGCTACTTGCTTTTCCATGAAAAGATCATTAAAGTCTAAAAGTAAAAGTGAAACATGGGATTGTTGGATTTGACAGTATTGTCATCTGGCAAGCTATTTCTATCTCATGACAAGCAAGTTTCCCAATGGAGATGCACAATCTGTACACAAGCAAAGCTCAATCGTACTTCGGAAATTTAATAACAAAAATCATTAGATTGTAACTATGGGGATTATGGTTAGGATTTGGCACACAATTAATGGTAATGATTCAGAACATGAGGCTTGTAATAAAGACATGAGAATGTAAAGTTTCTCTCCAGCTAGCTATCACACTCATAACATGGGGTTCTGTTTTTTTTGACCAAAGGAGAAACTTATTGGAATCAAGTTTACATTTCTCACTCACACTTTCACCATCACACAATTTGTGAACTATCACATGCAGAACATAAAATATTTTAATTTCTTTTTTTAATATATATTCATGCGAATAAAATGAAAGGAAAACAGATTAGGTATAGCAATATTGTCATGAGTCTTGACACTATTCTTCTGCTGACTGTATGCATCATCAAAAGAGCAAAAAATTGTTGAAAACAGGGCCGGTGAAAAAAGTGGAGGGCAATTGTTTTAGTTCCAAGTAGCCGTCCAATGTACGTGCAATCACACCAATACCTTCCAGACAGCTCCCTGGTGGTGCCCCATTTGGATTTAACTGTATCCGAATTTACCTGTCCTTTTCCCCCTTCTTTCTCCAGATTCATTGCAATCGAGTCAAGCCAGTAGTTTCCTCCTTGTTTCGTTGCTAAAGTAGCTAGGCTGCTTGCTGTTGCTACTTAACCTGCTTCCTTTTCCTTGTTGCATTCAGACTTTCCCTCTGCTTCTGGTTTCAAACTGCTGAGGCAGGACAAAAATGGCTTCCCTGTTGAGAGAGCTACCTTCCATGTCCACTCTTCTTGCTGCCTATGCTTCCTTCTCGGCCATGGCCATGCTAATCCGCACGGTATTGAATGAAATGATCCCGAAACCGTTGCAGAAGTATATTAACTCAAAGTTCTCTGACCTGATGTCCAATTACTTCTCCACTAACTTCACCTTCATCATTGAGGAGCGGTGGCATGCTGTTTATAATGAAACGTTTCGGGCTGTTGAGGTTTACCTGCCAACCAGGATCGGCCCTACAACCGACAAACTTGTCATAGGGTCCAACGACCCCAATAATCCGACGGCCACACCGAAACGAAGCATCCCTGCTGACTGCAAGATCATTGATGAATTTGAGGGCATGACCTTGCAGTGGACTCTGCATGTAAGAGAGTCGGATAAGTTCTATATCCCTGATAGAAAATGCTTTCACTTGACCTGCAAGAAACGACTTAGAGAAAAAGTTGAGGAAAAGTATCTCCGCCACATAGCAGAGACGGCTCAAAAAATCCTGAGCAAGCGAGAAAAGCTCAACATCTACACCTACAACCAAGATCGTTTCAGGTGGGAATCCGCCATTTTCAAGCATCCAGCAAGGTTTGATACATTGGCTATGGAGCCAGAGCTTAAGCAATTCATAATGGATGATCTTGACTCCTTCGTGGGACGCAAGGATTTCTTTGAAAATGTTGGCAGGGCTTGGAAACGTGGGTACCTTTTGTATGGTCCTCCAGGGACAGGAAAATCATCACTAGTTGCAGCAATCGCGAATCACATGAACTACCATGTATATGATCTCCAGTTCCAAAGTGTTCGAAATGACGCTGAGCTCAGGCGAATACTCACGTCCACCACAAACCGCTCTATTCTGCTCATCGAGGACATAGATTGCAGCACAAAAATTTCTGAAGATCGTGGCAAGGTTAAAGATGAGAAACAGAAGGAAGGTGAAGATGGGCGACTCAATCGTCCTTCCTCTACTGATCCTGGGGTAAAAAGTTCTCCTCATTTAGACAAACAAAACAGAACGAATTGCCTAAAATTAAAAACAGAGTTAATCCATAAAGCCTGCTTTGCCTTGCTCTTACTACTGATAATTCAGAACCCATATTTTCCTTGTTGGCTTTCTAGTTTCTACTCTATCAAACACATATTTGGTAACTGTTGGTTTTAACCTTTTATGTACTTTCCTTAGGTAACATTATCAGGGCTACTGAATTTCATTGATGGACTGTGGTCGAGCTGTGGGAATGAGAGAATCATCATCTTTACCACCAATCACAAAGATAAGTTAGATCCAGCCCTGTTGCGTCCAGGGCGCATGGATGTGCACATTCACATGGGCTACTGCACTCCTCCAGGGTTCAGAAAACTTGCTACCACATATCTCGGAATCAAGGATGACAAACTGTTTGCCTGCATCGATGATCTTCTGAAAAGTGTTGAAGTTACCCCAGCAGAAGTAGCACAACAACTGATGATCAAAAGCGATGAGCCTGAAGCTGCGCTCCAAGGTCTCATCGAATTCCTTACCATGAAAAAGGATAAAGTTGGGGAAGATGTGACTCAAGCGGGTGAAAATAAGAAGAAGGATGGTGAAGAAGGTGTGATTCAAGCAAAGGAAGCGAAGGATGAGAATGAGAACAAGGATGGTGGAAAACAGAGCCGGAAGCATGATGAAACTGAAACTAGTTCCATATATCTGACTTAGGTAATTGTATGCATTTTCAATCAATTGTTACTACTAGTTTAGTATCTTATATAATATGGGATTTGTCATGAATTTTGGGTTTGATTAGATGCGTGGGACAGAAATTTCATACCCAAAACTATTTGTTTCAACAAAAACAAAAAGGAAGTAAACATTATTATAAGTGTTTATGGGTAAGACTTGAGTCTAATTTCCTGTTCCATTAACCAGAAAAACCTTTAGTCCAAACCCAGCCCAACCTGAAGTAAAGTAAGCCAAGCTGGCCTTAATTAAACCTTTCATATTCAAGGCTACTAATCGATTTAAAAATTTTATAATCTATTAGTTTTAAATCGAATATTTAGCTTATTATTTTACCATGATTCAAAATAATATTTATTTTTTGAAAATGAAAATTAATTTTTAATGTTATTTTTATTGAAATATTGATTTCATTATAATTCACCAACTTTCATGTTACTTTCAAAATAAAATTTATAAAATAACATTTAAGTAGACTCAAATATTAAGCGTATTAGTTTTAATGATAAATGTGCTTGCATGCAACCTTAAAATAATTTTTCTTTAACAAAATCTCAAATTTATATCTTCTTGTTCTCTAATTATAAATCATGCAACTCGAGATTTATGGTATCCAAAAATCAATTCCATTATCCTACTTTCTAATTGGTACTCATCAGTAAATGCATGAGGATCAATAGATAACTTTGCGTGATAAATAACTGATAATTTAATACTTAATGCAGTTCATTTTAGTAGTCTTTTGTACACATTCGTGTGTTGAACAAGTTCCTGCACGTTGGGTTTTATCTGGTTATTGCAATGGACATTTGAGTCGATCCAATAAGTTCTTGGAGAAGTGAAGTGGCGAAGATAAGGTTCATTTTGCCGACATCCATCAACCAATCCCAACCCCAACCCCAACCCCAACCCGGACGCCTACGAAGTAGCTCTGTTTCGTGTTGGGCTGTGGCTGTGGTCTCCCAAATATATGTCGGCAAGATGCTTGGGTGCAAGCAGTCAAGCAGGCAGGTCAGCTTCTGAAGGATTCTGCTGAAGTTTTTAGGCTAAAATCAAAGGTCAAGACGTGGAGGAGAAGGCCTCGGTCTCTTTCCAAATAGTGCGGTTCGACGTTTTAGCTTCGAAAAAGCAAAGAAAATGTTCCTCTGACTTTTCTGTGATTCAAAAAGTAGCATAGACGAAAGCAACCATGTTGAAAGTTGAAACCCTGCTAGAAGAACCATCAGCCATCAGGAATGGACCTACCACACAGTAAGTTTTTTCCTTTTTACAGTAAGATTTAGCATAAGACAAAAGCTCAGAAATTTACCTCCCACTCCACACAGGACATGTTACATTTTTATGAGATTACATTATTTATTTTTTGCATTTTTATCAAAATCAAGTTATATTCATTTGATCGTAAATTAGATTTCGATGTTACGTAGGACCTGTCTAAAAATACAAATTAAGATTTTTCAGCTATTGAAGAGTTAATTTAATCAACATTATTTTCAAAATCAAATTATATATTAAAAATCAAGTGCATTTTTATATTTTAAATTTTTAAATTTCAAATCAATATAAATTAATTATATATAAAACTTAACATAATAATCTATTAATAAAATTATTATAATAGTAGTCTTTCTGTGTCTTGGAAAGAAATGTTTCCTTTACAAACAATGTAAAAGTATACTTGTAAAAGTTTGTTAATTTTAAGGGGAAGATTCTTGGAGGAGTATTTTCACTTTAAGCATTATAATGACTTATGGTGGCATATTTGTAAAAGTTCATTAACTCTTTATGGGTGAGCAATCAATTGATTGTTGAACTATTTTACTGATTAAAGTATGCTTGTGATTAATCATTTAAAACTGTCTTTAAAATCCAATAATGACAAATTTGAATTCTCGATCACTTTGTACTCTTTTCATTATCAATAAAATGTTTTTTTTTAAAATTAATGATTATGTATAAAACAGCTGTTATGTGTATGATTTTGTTATTGCATTTCGTAAATTAATTTGTAACTATAATATATACTTATTAAAATATAATCAAGTTTTTAATTATACTCGAACACCACACGAGTTATTGCATAATTGAGCTAAGAGGCGTGGTTCGACAAATGTATCTTATCATCTAGTTTGTGAGATTAGAAAAAGAACAAAAAAAAAACCCAAAGTTTTACAGCTCAAAAGCGCAAAATTTTGTTATGCTTTTGTATCAATTCCAAACACATCTTGACGTGCAAAAGATGCATGACGCACTGCTTATCCTATTGAGATTAGCAAAAACATTGCCGCTGCCACAATCTCCAAGGGCACTTCAATTTCTTAAGGATTAATGTTCCGAGAAAGACAAATGAAGAAAATTTAATAATGAAAAAAAAAAGGTAAAAAGGAGAAAACAACAGTGCTTGTTATTAAATATCTGACATGAATATGTTCCTTACCTTTTTTCCTATGGCTTACCTGGAAATGTTGATCAAAATAAGATGTCACCATCGACCCAGTTTCAGAATTTCAGTCAAGCAGTTCGGCCCCCCCGTATGTCTTTTTCCAGGATCCTTCCTGATACAATTTGGATCCTGCGAAGACATTTTCCTGCGAAGATAAAAAGGAGCAAGCTTCAAGGTTCTTTCCTGGGTCCTTAGTCAGCTTGCTCGCCTGAGGTTTTCCTTTTCATTTTCCCTTTTAACCTTATCTGTTTCTCCGTGTTTTTTTCTTTTTTCCGAACGGAAGCAAAAAACAGAGGGCAGAATGGCTACCCTGTTGAAAGAGCTGCCTTCTTTCTCCGCCCTTGTCTCCGCATATGCTTCTATCTCGGCCATGGCCATGCTAATCCGTACGATGTTGAATGAAATGCTCCCAGAACGGATGCGGAACTACGTCGCGTCCAAATTTTCCGAGTTGACATCCGCTTACTTCTCTTCAGACTTCACGTTCGTCATCGAAGACCGCTGGCAAGCTGCTGATAACCTAATGTTTCGTGCTGCTGAGGTCTACTTGCCCACCAGAATTGGGCCTTCCAGCGACAGTCTCATGGTAGGTTCCAATGACTCCAGTGACCCAACAGCTCCGCCCAAACGAAGCATCCCTGTAGATTGCACGATCATGGATGATTTTGAGGGCATGCGCTTGAAGTGGACTTTCTCTTCAATTGAGACCAAAAAGTACTACATCCCTAGCAAGAGATTCTTCAGCTTGACCTGCAAGAAAAGCCTCAGAGAAAGAGTTGAGCAGGAGTACCTTCCCTACATCAGCAAAACCGCACAAGAAATTCTTAAAAAGCGTGAGAGCCTCAGCATTTACACATATGACCAAGAATATTCCATGTGGGAGTCCGCAGTTTTCAAGCATCCGGCCACGTTTGAGACTCTGGCAATGGAGCCAGAGCTCAAGCGGTTCATAACGGATGATCTTGACTCATTTGTGCAACGCAAGGAATTTTTTGAAAACGTTGGTAGGGCCTGGAAGCGTGGGTACCTTTTGTATGGACCTCCAGGGACAGGAAAATCATCACTGGTTGCGGCAATTGCAAATTACATGAGATATAATATCTATGATCTTCAGTTCCAAAGTGTCCGAAACGATGCTGATCTCAGGCGTATACTCACTTCCACCACAAACCAGTCCATTCTGCTTATTGAGGACATAGATTGTAGCACGAATGTGTCACGTGATCGAGCCAAAGTTAAAGAAGAACCAGGGGAAGAAGATGGAGATGAACCGAATCGTCCTTCTGCTATCGATCCTGGGGTAATTCATTGTTTCACTGTCTTTTAGTTTTCCATTTCCAGGTTTAGGTACACCTGTCTTTACTTAATTTAACATAATTCTTGTAGGTAACACTGTCAGGATTACTCAACTTCATTGATGGATTGTGGTCGAGCTGCGGAGACGAAAGAATCATAATCTTCACCACGAACCACAAGGAAAAGTTAGACCCAGCTCTGCTACGTCCAGGGCGAATGGATGTGCATATTTACATGGGATATTGCACTCCTGCAGGATTCCGAAAGCTGGCAGCTACATATCTCAGAATCAAAGATGACAAAGTGTTTGCCTGCATCGATGATCTCATTAAAAGTGTTGAAGTTACTCCAGCTGAAGTGGCGCAACAACTTATGATCAGTGATGAGCCGAAAGCCGCACTCAATGGTCTCATCGAATTTCTCAACAGGAAGAAGACCAAAACGAAGGAAGATGGAGCTGAGGAGGAGGAAAAGACTGTTGAAGAAAAGGAAGGAGAGGAAAAGACAGGTGAAAGACAAAAAAATTCAGAGCATGCCGAGATTGAAACAAGATGCATATATTTGACCTAGTTTGGAACTTGACTGCAAAGAAACCATTGTCTTGGGTTGCTACAAGACAAATTTAGTGAGATGGAAAGAAAATGAAATGTTTGTACCTTGGTACTTATTTCTTATTCGTCAATGATAATTAAATGCTAGATCAAGAGCACGTCACATGCTTTTCCTCACTCAAATCTCTTGGTAAACACATAGGTTCTTGCACCAAACCATAACTTCAAGAAAATCTAAATCTAAACAAAAAGGAAAGATCATGCCTTAGAGATAGGGAGATGTCATGGATTCAAATTATCCTTGTTGGAGCTTTAGAGATAGAGAGATGTCAAAAGATCCCTTGTGTGACTATCGCTGTCCCCCTTCATAAAAAATTTAATGGTCACTATCATCAACAACCTAAGCTCTCATCTCTTATTGATAGTCACACATCTCTATCGCAGATTTAAATAATTTTAAAATCTAAATGTATCGGAACATTTGAAAGGGAAGAGAGATGCACTCATTAGTTTAGCTGCTACCATTGTAATGCTTTATCTATTTTCATTTATCTGTCCTTTGTATTCACAAGAGTTAAAAACACATTGTATCGTTGTCAAATTAGTATCCTACCGATCAAAGCCATCATCAAACCAGCAACCATCTCTACCGCTGCAAGGATGAAACAGGTAAATCCTGGAGAAAATTATATGAAGGCGGAAGTATATCTTTTGCTGATGCTAGAGATTGAATCAACTCATCTACTTGCCGTGTAAACATGCAAACCACATCAGCTAAATTCCTTGCTATCCAATCTTCACATAACCTGCATAAGAGGAAATATTTATTTTGGTGGACTGAAACAAACCTGATACTGACAAGTTAAATACATGAAGGTAGAAGAAAACAAATTTTCACAAGGTAATATTGGGGTAGGCAATGACAAACATTATAGTTTTCTAAATCGTGTAAAAGCTGACCATCCAATTCTAAGTTTCTAACGGCTATTTTAGTTTTATGTTTCAAGTATGAAAGTTTTATTAGCGCCAAATCAGGATTATTATTCATTTCTCACTTCATTCAAGAGTATTAGGTGTGTTTTTGACTTTGTGTTTCTTCCTTATTTTAATTTCCCCTTATTTAAAAACGTACAGCTGGAAACAAAATACAAAATAGAGGATCCATATCTTGTAGAGTGAGGAAAAAGAACCAAATTCATGTCAAAAATGCAGAACATAAGACAAAGAACGTCAAAAGTTTCCTCAACATGAAACAATTAATGTAATCTTTTAAGAAGACACTGGAAATGTTTCTTTTGTTAGCTAACAGAGGAAAAAAGGAGAGAAATTACGAGCTCATTTCAGACTAACCTTAACTGAGATGCTGCAGATTCACTGCAATCACAAAAGAGCACCTTGATAACAGGGAGTAAATCTAACTTCAAACTAGATTCCATTGCACTGGCTGAGTCCAAACAATAACCAGAACAGCACCAAGAATTTGGATTTAACAGAACAATTTGCAACAAGGGAGACTTGGTTTTTAAATCTCTAACCACAGTTCGAAATGATAATTCATCTTTTGCATTTTCCAGCAGCTGATTTGTGAACATTCTTTCCAAGCTGTATTTCCTGTTCATGATGAGCAAACTTAAGGCCACAGTTTGAAACTCATCAATTACACTAAAGAAACATTTGCACAGCTCTCTAATCACTAAAATGGCTCACATATATAAACAAAAAATACAACCAAAGTTTCTTATGGTAATTGTGCAAAGTTGTCTAATGGTTTTCTGCTACCTGAACAGATCATCCAATCCACCAGCTGATGTACAAGTGGAAATGTAGCATTTAAAGAGTCGAACGCCACCATCTATAGGTGCACCACCATTATCAAAAGGATAAGCTCCGAGAAGCGATAAACAGTTAGGGCATACAAATTCCATCCACTCAATATCCATTGAGAGATTGTAGGATTTAGCCATAAAAGCATTTCCAAGAGAACCATTAAGGAACAATTTCTGATTAGCCAAGAGCTTTGAAGCGTTTTCGTCCACTGGGCAAGTTTCAGAAACATTGTGTGGGCCACCTTCATCAACATGATTTCGAATGTGATTTTCTGTATGAACACAACAACCTAGCACTGATGTCTCATTTTCAGACACATCCAGTACAGGTAATGCAGAAAATAATTTATGACCATTTGCTTCCTCCTTAGTAACTAGCACATTTGTAGTAACACTATCATTCTTAAGATGCATGGAGCTCAGGTTCCCACATAAATCATTTGTGCTCTCTCGAGAACTTAACATTTCATCACTCGAAACACAGTCACTAGAAAAATCTGATCCAGGCTGGTGTTCTTGAGTTCTATTATAAAGTTTACATGCCACCAAGTCATCCTTGCTAAGAACAACGGTGGTAAAGCTCAAGAGGCCCACACCTTTAGCACATGTATAGGAATTTGCAAATCTAGTCACCATCTTCTCACTTATACCCCCAAATGAACAACAGCAAGCTCCAAACCAATTATCAGCCACTTCTCGCCAGTCAATCGAAGGCATGTCCACAAAATTTCTACACACATTAATCAAAATTCTCAAAATAAACAAAGAGAAAACATACACTAGTAAAGGGGTATCAAACAGTTACATATATTCAAAGCTGATACTAATGAACACAATGAAATGAAAACACGTGACCTACCTAAGAGGATTTTTTGTCAGCCTAATTGAGCAATTTCTGCAGTAGAAATGCACTCCTTCTTCAATTGATGACAGACTCTTCAAATCTAAGAAAGTAAACAAAAAGAAGGAATCAAGCATAGAATTTCATAATTTAAGCCTTCATTCAGTTGTCATTAGAACTGAGAAAAAACCTAAAATGTAACTAATGCCCGAACAGAAAAAAAAAAAAAAAACCCTAATGCCCGAACGTAATTTTTGATTATAAACTATAAAAGTAAAATCAACATTATAGTTTTTTTCTATTCAAAAAAGTTCATTTTTTTTAATTGTTGACAATACTACTACCCTTTTGCTTTTTAACTTCCAGAGTATAAAGATAAATACGAAAAATAAAAATTAAACGAAACTGAAAAATCAAGCACAGACTTTGAAAAAGGAAAAAAAAAGGATAATTTTTCAACTAACCAGTATCCATCACTAGCGGCGTTGCTGCATCCGGTGCGAGCGCATCATCGCCATTTTCAGACGAATTCAACACCGAATCAAAGCTTGAAACGATAGGATGACCAACCGGGAGAAGCAAAACGAGCTTGACCTCAATGTGATCATCCAAAGCTCGAAAACTCACCGGAGATTCAGAATCGATCAAAACTCTAGGAATCGGAACCCTAACCGTCACCTCTTCCTCCTCCTCCTCCTCTTTGAGCCACGAAACGAGAAGCTGAGATTGAAAGAGATTGAGCTGAACTTTGAGGTTCTTGCACTGAACCGAAGGTTTTATTTGCGAATCGAAGAGGAATAAACGGAGAATCGGAGAATGAGATTGGGCTTCCCATGTAAACCGCCATTTTCTAGGGTTTTTGGGGTTTTCCATTGACATTTCTCTTTCGCTTCCAGTGTTCAGGTAAATACTTTGAGTCAGTGTGTGTTACGCGCTTAAATTTTAAAACGGATGGTTTTCAGTTTATTTCCTGAAATACCCTTATCGGGCTCCAACCGGCCAAATAAGAGATTTTGGATCAAGGCCCATTGACTTGCTAGAAAGGGCCAATCTTATAATGCATAGCTCAATAAGTAATCTAGTTTTCATATAGTTGCAAAATAAGGATTATATTTAACATAAATAATTAAATTTTTTAATTAAAATAATGTTGATATAAAGTTCTTAATTTGCTCCTCTCGTTTCAACTTACTTCACTAAACACCAAATTTTTGTTAAATAAATAAAAAAAAAAGTCATTACCACATAGTCATAATCAATTCAATTAAAATAATTAAACTCCACTAAACTTGATTAAGAAATTAACCACCTTTTTATTGTTTCTTTGGCCATGTGCGCCTTTTTCATAAATGGTTGGCCACATGCCTCCCCCCTAATATGCTTGCTTTCTCTTAATTTTAACTCTTTCCGATCCCTAAGTATTAAGTTTTTTTTTTTTTTTATCTTTCAGGCGATTAAAACAAAAAATTTGATTTTTAATATATTTTATATGAAATTTAAAAATATTTTTCATATGAACAAGTAAAAAATCAGGCAAAATAAATTTCTAATACATAAACGGAAGAGTTTTCGATGTTTAAGAAAAAAAATAATTTTATTTTGGGATATTTAAAAAAAAGATAAATAAAAAGAAAGAAACGTAGTCCGGAAGGAATAATATGATTATTATAGTTAATAATTCAAAAGATTAAGCATGGGGTTTTATATGCGTTGCTTGCCAACATCATCTTCTTGTAGAAAAAGGTTAACAATAATTTAATAGGAATTAATTACACTTGTGAGCTTGATTGGTTTGTTTGATTTGTGGTGGAGGAATGGCATGGATTTGTCTAATTTAATACCTAACTTTGTCCACTTTCCCTTTTTTTTTTTAATTTTCCCTTTATTTTGACACATAATTTATGACACAAGAAATGTCCTATGCATAAAGTTACACTCCATAATGGGCAGCCTTTACTTTTATGCTAATCTTTTTCTTAGTTTCATTAATTATTAATTCTTTTTTTCCTATAATAAAGCATGTATATTAATTTACATATACGTAGATGACATACAAATATTCGTAATGTTAAAATATAGTGAAAATGTTTATGAGCACTCCTTCCTTTTTTGAATTACGTCGAAGATTATATTATATTAAAATAAATTTACTATTTAATTAAAAGTGACATACACCTTATAATTTGACTTTAAAAAGGATGAGGGAACATAAATTAATAGCTTAAGAAAATCGAAACAACGAAGATCACTGGTGAGTATTTGGTCGGTTTAGTTTATAAAAATTTCGAAAATCAAATTAATTAAACTTTAAAAAAAATAATTAAACAAATTGAACATATCAAAATTAAGTTAAAATCTGTGACTAAAATGTGACATAATTTGTCTCTAAGTGCTAGCTTTACTTGTTATAATTGATCATGGTGGGAAAATTTGAAGGTTGAGTCATAATTGAGGAATCTTTGGTTAATTTATTCCTCTTTTTGCTTAAATAAAGATGGATCAGGACAAACTTCTTTGATTTTAAATTAATTAATTCTAGTGTTGTCATGTTTTATTAGGTTAATATTATATTCAATTTTCTAATCGTCTGTTTGTGAAGACAAGCCCAGGAGGAAATTTGGTATTCAGTTGAGTTTTTATTTTTTTGGAATAATTGACTATTCCTTTATTTTTTTGGTTTGAGAATTGACTAATTTAAACCATTTTTAGTTGTAATTCTTTTTTTGATCTACTTGTTCTTCAATATTTGTACATTTTTATTTTCTCAAATTATGATTCAAATTAAGAAAAACAAATATACAATTGGAAGGCAACATCATATCAATGGTTTAATTCAATAAAAAAATTTGTTATTATATTCAAATGCAATTTATTTTATACATTCTCACTTAGAATTGAAGCCCAAAACAATTTAACATTTAAAAATTTTCATGTAAAAAAAAACTTTATAATAAAATTGAATAGATTTTATAAGAATTCACTTGGTCAAAATACGATCATAACATAAATTCACATGTTTTAAATTCCTTTTTATTTTTGTGGGAATTTAATTTTGGAGATAATTATATGCTTTAATTGCTTAGACTTTTCATATTTAATCAGTACTAATTAAAATAATAATTTAATTTCGTTAAACAAAACACACGCAAAAAGAAAGGAAAATGAGCACGCAACAATCATTTTAATGATTGATTAATTTTGCAAAGCCAGGTCGTTTAAGTGGATTGATCATGGATTTCTATTTTATTTTATTTTTTAAAAAATTCTTATTTAATTTGCATGACTAGCTTTTTTCCCTAGTAATGGACTTTCACTGCCAATAATTAGACCCTTTTTCTTTAGGAACAAACGAAGAAGCCCTTCCAGCAAATACCCGCAACCTAATTATTAAGATCTTATGTAATAATAGTATGTTAGAGACCCACCTAGATTTTTCCAGCCATGAAATCCAAAAAAAAAAAAAAAGTTAGAATTATATTCTTAGATAATTCTTTTGTCCCATCTCATCATCATACTATTATATTGTTAAATAAAATTAAATATTATTATCTCATTAATAAATAAATTTAAAAATAAAAACCTTTTAAAAAATACTTATAATTTTAAAACATTTTATTTTGAAAGATTTACATATTTATGAAGTGGTATTCTATGATTGACAGTATAAACCCTTAAAAATATATAAGACATCATTATTAGTCTTTCCAACATATTATATCAGGAGTAACTAGTGAAAACGCTAATGGAAAACATGATTAATTATTTAAAAATGTGAAATAATTTCTGCTATATTTCTCATGGAAAACATGATTTTTTTTTTCAAAAATGTCGTAACTAGCAGTTAAGTGTACACATTGATCACAACTCAAAAAATTAGCTAATAAGAATTTTTGTTCTTAAAAAACTTGCTGAAAGGTGTGGGGTTGCAATGATAATTACATTAAAAAACCAGAAATGGCAACTTTACAGTAATAATGTAACAGCCCAGCTATGGCATTGCCAACTTTTCTGTCTGATTACCACAAATCTCCACCCATGCATCCCTTGATTATGCAAAGCCTTAACAAACTAAATGAAGTAAAACACAAGAAAAAGAAAGGGGGGGACAGCTCTAGCTCTCTCCAATAGGATCTAAGCAACACCTGTAAAATTAGAAATAAGAGCAACAATCAACAACCATAAAGCCAGGATTTCACAGCATAGAAATGATTGCTCAGTACATAATCATGTCAGCAGAAGCCATGAAGTGTTGATTGACAGAGAAAGAAGTCCACGGATTGATGAAGGTATCATCATTGATCTGATGATGATGATGGGCAGCCTCAAAGTTGTGATCATTTTCGAAAACCCCATTGCTTAAGTTTATGAAATCGATGATTTCGTTGAGAGATTGCAGCCGGGTGCTGAGCTCAGTCATCTGAGCTCTAAGAACCGAGTTCTCAGCCTCAACGTTCAAGTAAAGCTGTGTGGTGATGTTCATGCTTGTAATGATCTGGTTGTTGTCCTTTGTGAGTTGAGAAACTTGGCCCGTCAGATCATCCATGTGCTTCTGTTTTCGCATCCGAGACCGACGTGCCGATTCCCTGTTGGACAGCTTTCTCTTGCGCTTCCTTTCATCCAAAATCTGCTGCAAATCCTCATCGGAACTTGAGCTTCTCATCATCGTGCTTGAAGCTGAAGATGCCCCGGTGCTTGAAGTAGCCATAACGACAACGGTTATAAAACAAAAACAATAGCAATAATTACTGGACTATGCTTGGGAAAAAGGAATAGCACAGGACCCAGAAGTAAGTTGATTATTCGAAAGATCTCAAATATGGGATTATGCTCTATGAAAAATAGGTAAGAAAAACTAAAGAAAATTAAGGGCTGATTATGGAGTTACAGAAAGATCAGATAGTTCATGAAAACACGTAGAACCAGTAAAGGAAAACAACAGAGAAAGATTGAACAAGATGGGTCCTGCGCCTGAGAGTAGAGTTGATCATAAAACCAGAGAGGAGGATTTCACTGAGTACGGGGGGAGACATGAGTCTCAAACATCAAGAACAAGATGTTGAGCATCAAAAAGATTTTCTAGCCAGACGAAAGCACAGAAACCGAAGAGACTCGGACATTCAGTATGTAAGATAACCTGAGAGAGTTATGGAAGAGATCTAGAGGTGATTGCAGAGAGACAGGGGAAAATCAAGATGAGAAAGGAAAGAGGCAGATGTGGGATTTCATGGTGGACTTTATAGACAGGAAATGCCCATTGGAAACAGATAAACTAATGGAGAAATCACCAAACAATATTGCAGTTTTGCATTACAATATTGGGGAAAAGAAAAACAAAGTGAATTGCGTCTAGAATGTTGAAAGTGTAGGGTATTTGTACATGAAGTAGCACGCGCAAAATTGGTTTTGGCAATCTCGCTCGCTCGCTCGCGGTCACAGATAGCCACCCACGGGAAAACTATTTTAACTGCCATACAGCAATGTAAAGTCGGTCTTTCACTTTTGTCGGCTTAAGACAGTCGCTTTCTTGCTAGTCTGTCAGCTCGCAGTAAATCTCCATGAATGTTAGAAGTTACCGCTACCACACATACATGTTCTGCTCTTCATAACTTCCCAAGTTTCAGGATTGAGAGTTTGCATGGGTTATTACCGCTGATACAAAATCTTGATCAAAAGTTTCTTTCCATGAATACCAAATTAACATCAATAGTGGCAGTTTCATGCCATGATACAGATTGGAGAACAATGGTTTTTACCGTCCTACAGCGGCAACGACGACGAAACAATGCTTCCGGGAGCGGAAGAAAGGTCAATGTTCTCCACGGAGATCTGTCGTGATTTTAAGCCGTGCAAATCACATGCATTCATGTCAGCTTTTCTGAACATTGGCCCCAGTTAAAAATTGGAGTTTTAGAGGCCACTAGGCCAGAGGAGGACGCGCACCCTCATGGCTAGGAGAGGCAATTCAGATTAAATTACGTTGGAAATACCAGAGTGCTCCCCTTTCTGTTTTTGTGGTTGCCATCATATTCTTAAATTTCAAGCTCATGGCCGGTTTTTTCCATAGTTTATGTTTGGAAGATCATGCTTACTAACCTTTTAGCATATCCCTAACGTCTAACTTACTAATTAAGCAACAGGGCAATCAAACCCTCCGCTGAAAGTCATCTCACACACTTCCATTAAGAAATGAAGGAAATCAAAAGCTTCATTGGAGGAGGAGAGGGTTCTTTTCCTAATTACAAGCATTGGTTAGTTTCTGCATACAGTAAGGTGATATAGATTTGAACCGGTTCACACATCATGGATTTCCACGCCAATCCGTTTCCTTATTTTATTTAATATAAAAGTAAATTCCAAATGATCAGATTCAATCAATCCATTTCTTGTTTCCTTGCTTGAACTAGTCATTTTTATTTGTAAGCTAAGCTGCCAAGAAAAGAAGGGAGACAACAAATCATTCATGCAGAGACAAGGCAAAGTGCCAGTGGAAGGGCGGTCCATTCTCCAACACTGTTGTAATGTCTTTCGCTTTGCACTTGGGACAGAAAACGAGTTCCACATGCTGCTTTGAACAAGGCAGCGGCCGTCTCCTCTGCCTTCCGGAATATCTTGTTCAACTTCTTAATCATTAAATCAAGCGACTTTCTTGTTCAATCATCTTCCTCTCTGCTTGTCTTTCTTCCACAGTAGAAATTCTCCCATCAATTTTTGCAATACAACATATTCTTATTTACACAGTTAATGAATATAAATATAAAAATCTGACCTTTTAAATGCATCGAACACATATTTAAATGCTATCTCGAATCATTTAAAATCGTGATTATAATATAAATACATTTGATATCAGGTGAACTATAACATTTTACTTGTCAGTTTGCGTTGGATAAAATAATTGTACAATATAGAGCATGTGCTACTCCAGGAGATGATTATGGTTCCATTAAAGTCTTAAACATATTTATATTTAAGATTCCCTAGACTAATCTTTTGACTACTTATTAAATTATAAAATATTAATTAAAAAAGTTAAAACATATCGTACATAAAAAATTAAAATCGTAAAGAATTTATCCGAAAACAAATATGGCATTGAATTCAAAGTGTACGAATTCATAGAAAAAAATGACACTATTGATAAATAATCTTCCCCACCTGAAGGATGGTTAATTATCCAAGGAGGAACCGACAGCCAGATACCCATAGTTAATGGTTGTCACGCGGAATTTCTCAGGAAACAAACAGCGATGTCTTGGTAAGCCATAAGAAAAGTATTTTAATGTTGCCTAAGAATGCGATGATATCAGGACATTCATGTACGAGAACCCGTTGGTTTCTTTTAAAAATGTTGAAAATCGTTGGCTGGTTGGGACCAAATTTCTATTTGTTATTCAACACACAAAAAAAGTAGAAGGGCCCCTCAGCCAGTGAAAGCTGGCAGACAAATATGGGAAGGCTTTTTGCAGAAAAAGTATACCCTTCAAACGTGTGAATGCCATGGAAGATTCCTATTTGCTGCAAAGTGCAACCATTGTTGTGTTCTACATTTTAGGTTATGGAAATGAAGTATATCAGAGTTGGACCTGCAACAAGATGAGTGTTAAAGTGCTTGACCAAAAGAAAAGAGCAGAGGAGAAAACGAGGGGTGAAAGTGGCGGGAGGGGGAGGCCATGCTTAAGTTGATATCTTGAAGGAACCTTGAGGGTACAACTATAGTTTGACTAACCAGGATGAAAGCTACGTTAACCTTGATTTAAGCCTAAATACGTGACAGGCAAAAAAAAGGTAAAAATGCAAAAGTAATTGATCATATATGTAAAGCAAAAGCATGGAGAAAGGGGGATGGAAGCTTTATGCTCTTCAAAAATGATCTCCAGGCTTTGAATTTGTGCAAGAGAAACCTTAGTTACTTTGTTTTGGTAATGGCTTTTCTCCCTTTAAGCTCGGACAAGAGTTTGACATTGCGTTTGATTATCAAAAAACAACTTTTAACAATTAACACAATGTCAAATACCATCTAATATTGGGTTTAAAAGCACTTTTTTAGACCATGATCTTTCTCCAGCTGCAGAAGCACATAGAAAGGTGCTTTTGCCAACCAGAGCTTTTTCTAACAGCAATGCCAAACTAGGCATTAATCTTAGCCCAACTTCTGCCAGGGCCTAGTTTCCCTTCTTACATTTTTTTCATTGCCCTCTTCTGTTTAGATCTACATGTGGAAAATGCCTCTTTTCAGATTGCTCTAATTCTCTTTAAGGATATTCAACTCATCCTTGTCATGGCATTGAGAAGAAGATGAAGAGTTAATGGTGAATAATGTATCAATAAACTACACAGAATGGGCAAAAATCTCCAGATTAATAGCATAAATATTTACAAGTTACATGAGCCACAGTTTGCTACAAAGAAGCCAAACTAATAAACAAGATGTTAAATCAAAATCTTGGTAAAATTGCTAAGTTCCACAGCAGAATTCTCAACAGTGTTCTTCTAGGTCAAACAATAATACTGGTTCTGAATGCACATTATAAGAAAGCAACAGAACCATGCATAGCTAAAACAATGCCATCTAAGCATTTAGAGAAGCAGCCTCTGGGTGGTAGTGAAGCATCTCAATCCACATCATCTCCCTAATCATCTGTTCTCCCATGTTTTCATCTATGTCAAGATCGATTGGGACTTGGGCAGGTGGATTGCACCTTGGATCATATAGCCCTGACATGAAAGGATGTAGAAGCGCCTCTGTGACAGTAATTCTCTTAGATGGATCAAAAATAAGCATCCTTTGCAGCAAATCTATGGCTAATGGATCAGCCTGGGGGTATAGATGGGAAAAGTGGGTGCCCCTAGAGTAAGGAAGTGACTTGATATACCTTCTGGCTTTGGGATTATCAATAAACTCAAGATCAGCCTCTTGCTGGCTTCCAAGGACGTTGATAATTAGCTTAAGCTGGTTGAGGCATTCCGTTCCTGGAAAGATAGGTTTCCGGCCAAGAATCTCTGCAAAGATGCATCCTACTGACCAAACATCAATGGAGGTCCCGTAATTGTCACAACAGAGTAGGAGCTCAGGTGCACGGTACCAGCGGGTTACAACATACTCTGTCATGAATTGTTCATTGCCTCTGCTGGTTCGGGCAAGCCCAAAATCACATATCTTCAGGTCACAGTTGGCATTGACAAGAAGGTTCCCAGGCTTCAAGTCTCGGTGAAGTATGTTTGCTGAGTGGAGGTACTTCAGCCCTCGTAGTAACTGTAGTATGTACTAAAGGTTAGTAACAAGCAGACAAATACTAAGCAGAAAAAAGAGGTTAGAACCTCATGTACATCTTTAAATGGAGCCCAGGTTTCTTAAGCATAGCAATGTCATAGAGATTTATTGTTACTCATAATATTCTATATAAGACAGTCAAGAAGGTTTCTTATCTCTTAGGTATTGCAGACAAGCGGCATACTTTCTAATTTTACTTTTAAATGTTACATGTCCTATCCTGTTAACAAAATAGAAATCAGTGTATTAGAATTTGATGAACCAGTAAATTTGTCAACCAGAAAAATCTGTAAGAGGGAGTTTAAAAATATTTACTAACTTGCAAAGAAAGGAAATCAAATGAAACATAAACAAGAGTGAACGGAGAAGGAAAGAGGATTAAGCTGAAACAAAGTGAACCAGAAATGAGGAAAGGCCTTTGTTAAAGAATGCATATGATGAGCAATGAGATGAAAATAGAGATTAACTTTTACTCATAATAGTGATGAAGTACTCTGTATTACATATTGCGAAGAAGCAATATAATTTTCTAAGTTTACATCATTATTGTTGGATGCCTATCCTATCCTATTGACAATTACTATGTAAATCAGTCCATAAATATTTAACTAAGCGGTTATGCTGACAACCAGAAAAAGCTATAAAAGAGGATCTGTAATTTACCATTTGCAAAGAAAGCAACCCAAATGAACCATTAATAAGATTGAGAAAAGGGAAGATAAAAGAAGCGAGAAGCAGAATTAATTGAATCAGAAAAGACCCTTGCTAAAGAATGGAATGATGCACACTCCATATTATTCTGGCCTTTATGATTGTAAATAAAGGTGAACTAAATAACTAACTCTCCATCAATGAAATGCATCATTATTCCTTCAACTGTTGCTTGACTGTCATCATCTTGTACCATAATGAATCTACTAACAAGTTTATTTCCACCAGTACAAGTTGTTACAATAAGCCCAATAAATAATCACCTTTTTCCTTTTTCTGCTGAACTAAATGCAAGAAGGGACCAGATGAGCACGAAACTCATCAAATCCCAAACCCAAGAATGCACAGAAATTAAGTATCAAAGGATAGCTATTAATACAAACTTGTCATTTTACAGTGTACATGCCCTGCA